ACGACGCAAAAGGGGACAAAGTTGCGTGTCACGCCTTGAGTGGCGTGCTCCGGACTTCGTGGGCAGCCCGGTGGGACGCTGTGAGGGATGCCGCTACAGCAGTTCCAGCGACCGTTCGGCAGTAGCCTCAGTGGTCGGAGGGGCCTGGACGATGGCAGCGAACGCGCCGCGTGTGGGCGCGCGCGCAGAGCGGCCCTCCCCCTCCAGTCCAGGATGTCCATCAGGTGGGGGCCAATGCCAGCGGGCCGCACAATCACAGGGTTGCAGCGGCTGACCCTCTGTATTCCGCGGCCGGACCCTCCTCTTCCAGGCACCCCGACCTGTCTGCAATCGAAGCGTACGTGCTCGCACATGTGTACGTGTATGTGCGTAGTGCTTCTACAGCCTTCTACAGTGATGCTGAGCATATCAGGTAACCGGTATCACCGCCAAGCGGGACAGGAAATACAGTCACGTTATACGCTGCTATACAATCACACTGCGATTAGAAGAAGAAGAAGAGAGAAGGAGGGGGGGGGGAAGCTCATCGCAACTAATACCCGTACAGACAAAGTCCCCTATTTTACTCGGTAGATACGGGGTTCGTATTCCTTCAATACTCCGTTCAGTGGGGCCCTTGTCGTGTCCCAGGGAAGGGGGGAGGGGAGGGGGGGGTCAAACGGTACGGTTGTCCCTGACTGACGATGGGTCGCATCCTGCTGCCATTTGTCGGCTAGGGGAAGGGGTGGATATCATGGGAGGCTATGCTGTCGAGCGAGAAACGGTTTGTACGTGGTGTGGAGGATGCAATGCAGTCACACGATATCCGTACAATGCAAACGGTTACGTGGATATTTTTTTTTTCTCTACCTCTTTTTCCTCCTTCGTCTTCCTGTTGGTGTTGTTTTTTAATCCGTTCTCTATTTCATCTCCGAATCTTTTATTCTGTTATTTTCCATCATTCTGTGCTGCCCATTGTGCTCTCGGAAATGTGTGTGTAAGAGAGGGTTATACCTCGGCTCATCTGTCACCATCGGAGATGGCGTATCACTTGGCCTGCTGACCTTCCCTCTCCCCCTTCCCCTTCGCAAAGCTGTGATTGACAGCCTGTCTCACCCGCCCCAGGGCCCCCAAAGGCCCCCCCCGTGGCAGAAGGTAACATCTCGTACTCTGTAATGACGCCCAGTCCTGCTAGTATGATCGTAATACTTCTCGTTCAAGCATTATTACAGAGCACGAGTACAGATTAATCCGTACACGTACGGAGTACATTCTACCCACAGGGCCAGGTCGGGTTTGACGGGGTTCCGTACGTGCGTACACGAGGCTTGGCATGGACGGCGCCGATCAGCCTTGGGAGGTTTACCGTACAGGCAAACACCTGGAAGCAGGTGGTCCATCCACTATCATTACAGGCGACGATCACAGCCAGCCAGTCTCTACTCCGTACAGCACATTACAGTTGATTACAAGGCACCGTCCGAGCATCTCCAGTGCACCGTTGCCCCCTCCCCCCTGCAACGCTGTACAGCTACCTGCTCATGCGGTCCATTAGACCACTTGCCCATGCCACTATTGTAAGTTACTTTTTTTTTTTTTCTTTGCGTAAAAATTTTTTCCCTTCCTCCCCCCCCCCCTCCCTTCGCCTTTTCAATAGATTCCGCAGGCCAAGAGACTAGTTCGACCGTAACTTGGTGTTATTTCGCGGGGAGTGAAAGGTTGCAGATATCTTTAAATGAGGCCAAGTCTTTAGCGTCAGATCGGTATTGGAAGTATTACCAATGATGTATCTGATGTATTATTACTAAGGATTCCTCTCTCACCCATTCACTCACTCTCACACACTCCCTCACTCTCTTCTCTCTACTATCACTTCAAGTACCGAGACGGAGTATTACATAAGAGCATTATATAATAATATTACTCATCTGTCACCTGACTTTACATTCCTCCCCTCTTCCATCAGGCATTCAATCCATCTCGTCGACAATCCATATTGTATTCATTCCTCAAACAAGTATAGTATTGAGTCATCCTTGGTGGGAGAGAGAGAGAAACTTGCTCTTGATCTCAGAATCCTGACTTGACTTTTGAACCCTTGAATGTTGCACCAGAATGTGGATGGCGATGGTCTTGAAGACGAGGCAAAAAAAAAAAAGGAGAAGAAGAAACTCCGAGGGATGCGAGAGCCTGCATGCCAAAGTGACCATCGCGCGGGTCTGCATCAGCAGCATAAACTGATCTCTCCATCTATTACTATACCTGTACGAGAACTCCGTGCTCAACAGCACCCGTACACGTCGAGCACGACCGAGAGACGTCATGGTGGTCTCCAGAGGTCTCGGAGCACCATTGCCTTGTTTGGGAGGATACGACCAAGGGATTCCTCCATCTGTCTAGATCTGAGACGTGGTGGAGTTCATACTACTGAGCAATAATATAGCATTTGGTATCTCTGCCGAGTACGGAGTGTTACATATACTGAAAAGAAGACAGCCAACCCTTCAACATTGCAGCTGGTGGCAGTGTACTCGTACATAGTCGTATACAGGTATGCATTGACGATTCCCCCCCCCCCCCCTTTTCTAATACCAGGTCCACGGTCCCACGGCTACACGGGTATACCAGAGATCGGAATATCATATTCACCGACATGGTTATTCGGCTTCAGAACTTCTATTTTCAGCAGCGTCTTATATGTACGGCCGGACCAACCTGACTGACCACATTCATCAACACCAGCCTCACCGCAACGCAGATCAACTTCCAAAAACAAGACAAAAAACTCTCAAAATATGCATGTTTCCATTTTTTTTCTTTTTTCTGTCTTATCCATATATCTATACTCCGTACTTCCACCCCATAACAGCATTTGATTATTAAGTCGAGAGAAAAAAAAAAGAAGGGGGAGGAAAAAGGACAATCCTCCACTCGCCCTGCGTCCAGCACAGGTTTCGTTATAAGAGCAAGAGGGGAAAGAAGAAGCCAGTCGAATTTGAACTGGAGAAGAAGAAGAAAGAAGAAAAATGAGTAGCAGGCGGAGGCCACATATTACAATCGTCTTAGAAGTTTTCCTTACCCCAGACAAAGGAGAATCTACACGTCACTGGTTAGCATCGCAACGTAAACGGGAAGAATGAGAGAATGAGAGAGAACGAGAGAGAGAGAGAGAGAGAGAGAGAGAACGAGAAGACATACCCAGGTTCGGTATACTTGTTACAGTAGACGTGCAGAGCACTACCTAGGCCCTTGGGACCGCAGAAGAAGACGCCGGCCTCGGCGGGGGCGTGGATCTTCCTGATACCCCTAAAGATCATGTCCCAGTTGGGCCTGCCAAAGTTGGTTGGGCTGCGCAGGCCGGTGATGGCGTCCTTGTCGGCGTCGGCGCCGTTGATCATGATGTTGGTGGCGTCGTCGGCCTTGATCTTGGCGGTGAGGTAGGCGTGGATCTCGATGCGGTGGTCGACATCCTGGGCCTCGACGGCCATGAGCAGGGAGCGGAACCACTCGAGGGAGCTGAAGTCGCGGCAGATCCAGAAGAAGTAGACCTTGCGGAGCCTGGTGCGGGCGCCCGGGTAGTTGAGGCGGTACCAGATGCTCTTGAGGATGGAGGCGAAGGGGGTGACGCCGATGCCGGCGCCGACCAGGACGGCCACCTCGTACTTGAAGACGTCCTCCGAGGCGGAGCCGAACGGGCCGTCGACGTAGACGCGGGGCAGGACGCGGCGGATGGCCGGGTCGACGGCGGCGTCGCCGTCGCCGTCGACGCCGACGACCTTGCTGGCGCCGCCGGCCTTGCTGTCCCAGTCGCAGCCGAGGGCCTTGCTGACCTCCTTCGTGAAGTCGCCGACGCAGCGCATGTGGATCGAGATGTAGTCCTCCTCGGGGGCGCTGGTGAGGGTGAAGGGGTGGTACTGCCAGAGCGAGACGGCCGGGCAGCAGAGGAAGATGTACTGGCCGGCCCGGGTCTTGGTGTTCTCCTTCTTGATCTGGATCTCGCAGACGTTGCTGGGGTGCTGGATGACCTTTGAGATGTACGTCTTGTGGCGGCCGCGGACCTCGCGGGCGATGCGCTCGGCCAGGTAGATGAAGCCGCCGTAGGTCCAGTACTGCCAGAAGACGCCGATGGCCGACGAGCCGATGGAGACGCAGAAGGGCGCGACGTCGGGCTGGATCATGCAGAAGGCGCCGTGGATGGCCCAGAAGACGAAGAAGACGATGAAGAGGTGGTGCGTGTACCAGAACCGCTCGTAGTTGGCCCGCCTCGTCTTCTCCACCGACGTCAGGACCATGCCCATGAGCGCCACCAGCATCACGTACCCGGTCCAGCCGGGGCCCGACGCGAAGTTGGCCAGGAGCCAGCCGTAGACGCCCAGCCCGAACTGGCGGGACACCTGCGCGAAGTTGATCCAGTGCGCGATCGTGTGCACCCAGGTGAAGAAGACGATGGACCAGGCCGTCGTCTTGTGGAACGTGATGTTCTTGTCGAACTGGATCACGCCGTTGAGCGGCGTCTGGCGCAGGAGAGAGATGAGCGTGCGGCACACGGGCAGGAGCACGATGCCGACGTCCACGTGGAGGACCAGCGCCGACGAACGCGCGGCCACGAAGGTCACGGGGAATCGCTGATTCGACGTCTTGAGCGACTCCTTCATCGAGTAGTGGACGCATCCGAAGGAGAAGATGAGGGCGTGCGCCAGGGCGAAGACGAAGACGAAGCTATAGAATGGCGGCCGTAGTCAGCATATGGATATAGATAGATATAGTCGAGGGATGCCCAAAAAAAAAAAAAAAACGATTGACGACCAAGAAAGGTCGTCAAGACAAGAAGAGGAGGATGAAAAGAAAGAAGCGGGAAAAAGGGTGGACAGAGAGAGAGAGAGAGAGAGAGAGACTCACACTTTCCGGTATCCTTCGTTAATCATCCATTTGTCCAACTTTTCCCTCGGAGTGAGTTCATGCTGCTTCTCCTGCGTCAACTCTCCGGATAAGAGCATTCGATTCAACGGAGACAGTCTTGACCGTTCGGTCGGTTTTTCGTAACTGTAATCCATCCTTCTCTTCTCCTTCTTCTTTCTGTTGGTGTTTCCTTCTTTCTTTCCCTTCTCTAGATTTCTCTCTAGGGATGTGAATCACACACACACACACACACACACACACACGCACGGGGTATATCACCCTCTCTCCCTATCCAAAAAGGAAGAACCACCGGACCGTCCTTCTTTTCTCCTTCCAGTCCTCTCTGATCGGTTTATCTCGAAATCGGTTATTATTAAATAAGTCGTCGTAGTCGTGATTATGATGTATATCTCCAGGATACCAGCTGGAGTTTTATATTCTTCGCACGAAGACACACAAGCAGAACACACAAATAAAGGATATAGAAGGAAGAGAAATCGCCTTGGAAAGAAGGGGGAAAGAAAGAGAGAGATGGTAAAAAGAAAGTATCGACTCGTGGGGACAAGGAGGGGCGGGCGGATCAGAAAAGAGGATATGCACACATATTAGAAGAAAGAAGAGAGAGAAGAAGAAGAAGAAAAAAAAGAGGGGAAAAATAAAGGGAAACCTGTACGTCTATGAACGAAAAAAAAAATATCAAAGAAACCCGTAAGAGAGCCTGAAGAACCCCTTCAGACCAGACGTCGTATCATGATGAGACGGTCGATGTAGGGGGGCGGGTTGGTTCCAACCTGGAACCTTGACAAGGGTATCATCGAGCGTAACGGTGACCTTTGGAACAGGGGGGGGGGGCCAGGGGGGTTACTACCTTTTGCGAGTATCCGCACTACTTCTTGTCGCGTTATAGTGGGACTGGAAAGGAAGAATAAGGAGATATTAACGGTGTGTGTCTGTGTACGTACCGGGGGGGGGGAATATATACATGTCTTGTACGCATATAAGGATATATATCCAACCTGTATATTCTATAGTATAGGGCACTCGTAAGGATCCCCCTACCTGTAGCTACTGTTTATCCGTATGGAGATTATGGTAGAGGCAGGTTCTGTCATGTGTAATCAAGGTCTTATTGCTCAATCAATAATCACCATCCCACGGCTCCTCCTCCCTCCAAGGTACGATGATCAGCCTCGTGACTTTTCCTGACACCATTCGATACTCACCATGTTCATTTGACATTTGGGGGGGGGGGGGGGGGGGAGGCAACTTCATACGAGTATATGAGTATATGTGCTGGTCAGGTCTTGACCATATCAGCTAATACTGCCGTTTTACACACGCGCTGTGGTGGATCTCTGGGCGCCTAGCCAGGCTCAGGATGTATATTACGTGCATATCGTGTAGGCAACCCGCCTGCCCGTACGAGTAATTATATGCAATATTGTCAATACTCCGCGCACTCGTACTCCGCAGGCATCTAATAGTGCGGATATACTCGTACATAGGCATGTATACATGTATGGCAATGTAGATGCGCCTCACCGGATTCTGATGAAGTATTGATATACAATGTGCTCGTGCACTTTTTTTTCCTTTTTTTTCTTTTTTCTTTTTCTTTTTCTTTTTTGACATCGACCCATTCTTGATATGATCCGTACGACTAGAATGATGACAATGCAAGCCCGATGAGAGCCATGGGCGAAACGGAGGTCAACAAGTCCGCCCAACCCCGTCACCCCCGAGTCATCATCCAGCATAGCCTGTAGTTGTATTAGTCATCGCATCATGGCAGAGCGTGACGATGTAGATGGATGATTTGATTATAATATATACAGGTATGCATATATACATATACATATGTAATATGCACATATACATATATACTCTCGTACTCGTACATCTACCATCGCTACTCGTATACTACTCTACCCGTCAGTCCCTTCCACAACACCAGAGGACAATAACCTGTGCAGATTACAGATTACTCTCTGATAAATCTCTATACATTCGCACTTGCATGATACTCACATACACGCCTTCTTCTCTTCTACCGGCTATACCCAGCCTATCACCATACAACGTCTACCTCCTCCGTACCCTATCCTATCAAAAAAAACAAAAAAAAACAAAAAGGAATCGAAGAATCGAAAAATCAAGAAAACACCCCCTCCCCCCCCCCCCCAATGAACCATGCCCGCCAAGCGTAGGAACAAAGCCCCTGTATCAAAGAAGACGGAAATATGAAACACTACAATGTCGCATCCACACCTCTTTGTCAGGTCAACCAGGGCCTAGAGGGGTCGACAGTTCAACCGCCGGGTGGGATTTTACAGGTATTAGTCGTATATATCGTATAATAGATACTCGTTCTGGTACAAGATGCAGGTATATGTAATACCTGTATGCCTCCCAACTGATGAGGGGTATTATCATCTTTCTCTGATGGGAGGACTTCTTCTTGGCAGTTTCTCTTTTTCTCCCTCTCTCTCCACCAATCATCCATCCCTCTCCCATCCTCTCTCCCTCTTCTTTCACCCCATTCTACAGATTACCGTACGTGCAATACTCCGTACGTGTAATACTCCGTACTCGTACCCCGTAGACCCTCTCTTTGACCCTGCCTTTGACCCTGTCTACTCCTCTGAATCCCGTTAGGATATCCCGTTCCCGCACCTTGTATTAATAATACTATCAGCAGTAGTCTGTACTCTGATACCCAACAGTCCGACACACACACACACACACACACACACACACACACTGACTGACAAAGCAAACTGGCCTGTCTGTCCCCCTCCCACCCCTCGGCCCATCGGACGCTTCAACTCGTTTGAATATCCGTCTGGAATATCCCGTCGTGCCCGTACGCCGCCCCGTCGTCATACGTCAGCTTGGAGTCGTCGTCGCTCTCAATCGTCCAACCACCAGACACCAGCTGGTTTCACACTTCTATACCTTTACGGATATACTTCACTTCACCACCTGACTTGAATCACTCCTCTCACACACACGCACGCACGCAGGAAAGAAAAACAAATCACTCCGATCCGTCACATCCACTGTCAATTTAATGCTGTTCCCAAAACTTCACTTCACTCAGTCACGTATCGCTTCCTCAACAACTCTCATGTATCATCATTCCTAGTTATATCCCCCTCTCCAGGTCCAGTTCCCCCCCAATTCACGCCGCTAGACGGAGAAGCCGCTGCGAGAGGCAAGAGGTAGGAGGATGACCTAATAGCTCAACCGCCCGCCAGTAGCTCGTTTCCGTCGCCAGTCGTCAGACATGTCCATGTACTTGTATGTGCGCGTTTTGTGTCGTCGTCAGGCTCCAGGAAAAAGAGCAGAGCAAGGGTCGTCGGCCATCGGACAATATCCAGTCCCTCGTCTCGCCATTTGCGCTTCTTTCGTCGTGTCGTAGCCGTAGGGACAGACAGAGAGGCCAAGATCAACCCGTCATGTTGTCACATGTATCCACCCTTTCCACCACCGATTCACTCGACCAGCACGCTAGATGGCATACTTTCGAGTCCACTCGCGGGCCGTAGCCTCGTACCGCGGGCGGTCAGTCTTGTATACGTGGGCAATCTCGGGGACAAGAGGGTCATCGGGGTTGGGGTCCGTCAGCATCGAGCAGATGGAAAGGAGAACTATGGTTCGTCAGCATGTGTATAGAGGAGGGAGAGGGGGGGGGTGGGCGGTCAGAGGAGAATAAAGACAGTAAGTAAGAGAGTGACGAGGCATGTTTGAAATCGGGGCAGATACGAGACATACCCTTGGAAATCGTCAACGCTGGGCTCCACTGGTCACGCAGAATATCGAGACAGATGCTTCCGTTAGAGTTGATGTTGGGGTGGTAGATCCTTGTGGTAAAGTTGACCTTGGGAGGCTTGAAGGGGTAGTCGGTAGGGAAGTGGATGGCAAGGAAGAAAACGCCGCCCGAGTAAGGAGAGTCACCCTGTTAAGAAAGCAGAAAAAGAAAGAAAAGAAAGAAAAAAAAGTCAGTCCTCTGTGCCTTCGTGTCCTTGGACATATCCATGGATCTTCTCCCAAGGGTCTCGGAATGCCCATCACAATCGTCACCCTGGAGAGAGAGAGCGTATGAAGACAAAGTGCCGTGTGCGTCATTACTTACAGGACCCATGATAGTCGCTTGCCAGTGGAACTACGCATTTGTCAGTAAACGAGTATTTCTGCCGTAAAATCCAGCAAGTACATATTCCGCCCAGGGCCGAATAGTTGTCGGCATCATCCGATTCAAAAATCAAAAGGCCAAGATGACAGATGCGGGGTGGGGGGGAGTCATGTTTTGCTTACCAGGTCTTCGCCGACAGGGCCAGCGGAGCAAGAAGACGGCGGGTCACTATAGAGGAGAAAGGAGAGAGAGAGAAGTCAGTGAGATTGCACAGGAAAGTCTAGCCATGACAGCCTAGACAGTCATCATGCCGCACGGCTCAAACGAGAGAGAAGCGAGGCGAGAAGAGCAGAGGTTTGTCAAGACCCCGCTCCCGTTGTGAGCCCCGCCTCTAGCAGGACTGTCGGTCGAGGGGATTTTGCAAAGCGTACCGGCCGAGATCAGTGAGTTCCTTGTTGATGCGCTTAAGAGCCATGTTGTAGGATGTGTGTATGTGTGCGTCGGATGTTGTTGAGTATGGGTATCGCGTGAGGGGATGGAGGAGGGGGACCGCAAGTTTTTTCCTTCCTTTTCTGTTGGTGTGGTTGTGTCGTTGGTCAGTTTCCAGCGGGGAGGAGTAAGAGTTAGGAGGAGGGGGGGGGCAAGGTAATTGAACGGGGCGGGAATGACGCACGATGACCCTCAAAAGATGCCGTCAAAAAAGAACGCGGCGGACTTCACGTTCTATTGTACACGTGATGTACAGTAACTGGTGAAGAACAGGAAAAGTTGTGTGATGGAGAAGACTTATGTCTCTCCCTATGAAAGAACAAAGACGGTGATACGTTTGAAGAGGTGGCAGGAGGAAAGAGTCGTAGGAAAGTGAGACTTTGTCCAGGACCAGAGTAGGAGAGACGGAATGGAGGGGCGAGAGAGAGTAGGAAAAGCGGGCAGACAGAGTCAGAGCCTGTTGGCCCTTTGACGCCCGAAAAGTCAGGTGCCCCACTTCTGGCGGCTTTGTCCCTCGTTTCCTTCCCTGAGGGGCGTCGGCTCTGGTTCTTCTGGTTCCTTCCTCATACCACTCCAACACTCTACGGATACATATGCTTGTGCATATCCGTACATATAAGCAGAATTACTAACCAGCCAGGACTGTCATCAGACGACAGTCACCGACCAGTCCACGGTCCAGTACTGATCGCTGAAAGGTTCCGGGACAGTCAAATGTCAGGCACTTGAAGCCTGAAGTCCAGACCTCTCTCTACCTATACCTGTACCCCTTACGCCCCGCCACAGGCCCTCTCTTGGGTCACAATGCGCGGCACCGCCACCGGACACCGCCACCTGGCACCGAACGGGCCGGATCTCGACGTGGGATTTGATAGCACCGTCAATGCTTAGTAATAGCACTCTCCGATACCAGTACATATGGCATATGAATACCGTACATGGGCATGCAGTGTCCATCCTGCTTCGACTACGACGTAATAACGCGAGCAAGATGAATGAATTACTACTTCTGTACGGAGTGCTACCTGTAGTATCACATCAACAATGACGCCTCTCGACCTCTGAAAGAATTACTCATCGCACGAGTAAGGTCAGTCGGGGAGGAAGTGGACACCGCCCTTGAGAAATGGCCGTCAAAGATGCGCTGTGATTGGTTATAGTGGGAAATACTTGGGCGTACCTGCGACCCACGAATAACCTCCGTAACTCTGCTACCCTAGACATCCTCTATGAGTACTTGGGTAAGATGAGTAAGATGAGAAAAAGAGTGGATGAGGCGGGACCTTTTAGATGCCCTAGATAGGGAAATAGTGGGACAGGCAACCGCTTCCCAAGGGCTATTACTTCCTTTCGAGTCCCGGATACACTCGGCACTAAAGCCGACACTAGCGTCGTCGCCATCAGGGTACTTCAAGTGGCATGCTTTGCACTGTATCCGATACGTGCATCATATTCTCGGTATTTTCTTTTCGTATATTGTTCTTCAACTTGTATTTTTTGGGGGTTTTTTTTTCTGAACAGACTACATACGAAACCCTAGACTTTCTATAAAAGAAAAAAAAATAGGAGCTAAAACAAGAAAAAAGGAAACAACTACACAAAAGCTTGGACACCCGTTATGGCCCGTCCAAGAATGAGGCTATGAATATCGCTCTGGCCCTCGTACGTCTGGGTGACAAACAGATTGGCGACGTGCCTCCCGATGGCGTACTCGTCGCTGACGGCATTGCCACCAAAGATTTCCTGCAAAGTGCGCGCGCCGCGCAGGGCGGCATCGCAGTTCTGCCTCTTGACCATGCTGATCATCTCGGGCGTGGCCGTCCCCCGATCCTTGAGACGGCCGACCTGGATGGACGCCAGGGTCCCGTAGGCGACGTCGGTGGCGGCGTCGGCCAGCTTCCTCTGGATGAGCTGGTACCTGGCCAGCGGGTTACCCTTGAACTGCCTCCGTTCGAGGGCGTAGGCGCGCGCGCGGGACAGGCAGTCCTCCAGAGCGCCCATGACGCCGAGCGAGATGCCGTATCGTGCGCTGTTGAGGCAGCTGAAGGGGCCGCGGAGGCCCTCGACGTCGGGGAACATGTTGGCCTCGGGCACGGGGCAGTCGTCCAGGTGGATCATGCCGGTTATGGAGGCGCGCAGGCCGGTCTTGTTCTTGATGGCCGGTGTCTCGAGCGTCCCCGGTGGGCAGTCCTTGCGCTCGACAAGGAAGCCGCGGATCTTGCCCGTCTCCTCCAGCTTGGCCCACACCAGCAGCACGTCGGCGATGGGGCTGTTGGTGATCCAAGTCTTGGACCCGCTGAGCGAGTAGTATCCCTTTTTGGATGGGTGAGGGCGCGCCACGCTCTCCATGCCGCCCGGGTCGCTGCCGTGGTTGGGTTCCGTCAGCCCAAACGCCCCCAGCACGTCACCCTTGGCCATGCCGGGGATGAAGCGCTCCTTCTGCTCCGCCGTGCCGAACTCGTCGATCCCCCCCATCACGAGGGACGACTGCACCGACATGCCAGAGCGGTAGCCGCTGTCTACCCGCTCCACAGCTCGTGTGATGAGCGCCCCCGCCACCGTCGACACGCCCGCGCACCCGTGACCCTGGATCGTGGCGCCCAGCAGTCCGAGCTCCCCCATCTCCTTGAGGATCTTGGCGTCGTACTTTTCATCCCGGTAGGCGTCTGGTTTGGAGTGTCAGATATATATCACACGGGGAGTATAGTACCGGGCTCAGCCGAGCGGATCGGAGCAGACAGGGAAAAGGGTCTGAGCTCACCTAGTACCCGGGGTGCCAGGTGCTCCTGACAGTACCGCTCGGCCGTCTCGCTGATTGCCACCTCCTCTTCGGTGAGAAGGCTGTTGAAAGCGAGGGGATCCTCCCAGTTGAACGCGGGGCCCGGAGACGAGGAGGTGTAGCTTCTCGACGCCGACATCACGACAGCTGGGCGTCGCTGCACGGCATGCCGGGCACATGACCTGAGGGCGACTCGAAACATGTTGACGCCGGATGCTATTGCCCTACGACGGCGTGTTGCTGATACCTTTCGATTGAGGGCAATGAGAATGTCTGAAGTTCGGGGGCGAAGAATCGGGGTGCCCGGGGGTATATACGTATCTCTTGGACGTATGCGGAGGAATTGATGAGGAATGAATATACAGTGTCCAGTCTGGGGTTGACCTCGGTCGAAGAACGGAAAATGTGGGGTCATGATATAGTGAGGTCGGTTGCCGTCGGGGGACTGCGTTGGGGGAAATTCATGTACAGTTTATATTCTGTAGCGTCCTCGAACGAGGTTATCAAGATACTTGCCGTGGCTACCAACGAGTCTGACGGCAATGGGTGGTATTATGATACATTTGATGGTATGACGGATTTTGTTGACCCGAGAGAAACCGAACTAAATCTCTCCAAAAAAATTACCTCCTGTCACAAGTTGCCAGACGTCTTCGCTCTTGCCTTTTCTTTTTTCTTTTTTTTTTGGGGGGGGGGGGAAGGGGGGTTGGGTTTAGCGACAGATACAGGGTAGCTTTTGTCGACGGATTGGCATGATCTCAGACTTTCAATATCTATATGCATCATCTCTATCGGCCTCATTGTGTCTAGTAGCCGTTGTTAACTTTATCGGACAGGCAGTCTCATCAGCAATGGAATACCGCTCATCGGGTGAGGGCTCGCCATCCTCCCCACCATCTCGACCTGATCAGTACCTCGACCGGGGAGACAGCGCAATCAGACCCCAGGACAAAGCACGACCATGGTTGAAAAGAGGAGGACGTGCAAGACGGCTGGGAGATTACGGCACAACGTCACAGGGATCGGATACATGTGACAGTTTGTCGCCAACGACGCGATGGGATCGCATACATTGCCCTGGGCTGTCGGCATCTTGTCCGGACTTGGGGGATTGGTCGGTACGTCCTGGACACATGCACACACACACACACACACACACAGCGAGAGGGAAAGAGAGAGTACCAGCTCCACACCCATCCGACTAACATGACGACGTGGCATGGCACACAGAAAGGCAGCGGTCGACAGAAGACGGCCATCACTCCCCGTGGAGGGTCCCGGTCCCAGCCGCCCACGCCACCTTGGTTACCGTCCTATCAGTTCACCGCATATATTCGCAGCACCCGCCTCTGGAAGGGGTCACCACCATCGTGTTCTCGGTCCGGTTCGTGGAAGCAGCAGCGGCAGAGGCACGATACGGCGGGCACGAGGAGCGACAGCCCTGGTGGCCATCGCAGGGTGGCTGTCCTGAACGGGCGGGAGCGGAGGAGGAGAGCTCGGGAGACGGGTGTGCATCGTGACCAGTCTTGGTCCGAGGCATCGTCCCCTGCATCGGCTGCATCGACGGCCGCCCGGCTAGAGGGAGGGGAGGGTGCGACGACGGCGCTGTTGGCCTTGGCCGGTCTGGCTGTTGCGACGGGTGAGTTGGACAGGTTGAGTGTGGGGAGGGAGAGGTAGTTGGTCCTTGCGTGTACAGACAGGTACAGGTAAAACAACATTATTCGGCAAAATCGGTAAAATCGATAGAGAGAGAGAGGTATCGACTATTACTGCTGATTATTGTATTATTCTTACCTGTAATGTTATTACCACCACCACCACCACCACCACTACTACTACTACTACTTACTATCCGTACTCAGAATTAAACTACGGAATATGAGCACTTTGGTGCTGGGCCGTAGACAGCTGAATGTCGGCGCGGGGTAACGAGCCACGTCTATGACCTGACCTGGACACTCTCCTTTCTTCTCTCTCTTCCTCTACGGGAGAGGTTGCTTGTAATCTGTACTCCATACAGGGTCTAAAGGATGATACTTGGCCTGCCCGACGACTTCTTGACGCCACGGCAACGAAAAGAGGCTAATATCTATCATTTACGGAATATCCGTAAACACTACAGTACATATGACATCAGGCTCTAGCACAGGACCGCAGGTACACGGAAGTGGTAAATTGGGTTATGCTTGGATGGCGACGGTGGGTAAGGGAGCGGAGTTTAGGGAAGCCGAGGGTCCGATCGCATCAGTTACGTGCAGCATCATACCACACGACCCGTACGCGCAATAATTGCTCGGTTCTGGACGATTGCCGGTACCTGTATATGTACAGCCGCAACGGGGATCAACAAGACGCGTGATAGGGATGGCCGTGGCCCAAGGAGTAATATTGGCATCCTGATCAACGGATTACTATTAATACCCGAGTGCGGATCCCCCTTGTACGAGTAGATAATCCGTACTTGCTACGGGGCGATAGTGCATCCACATCATGTACGGAGTACGGAGCACGTACAACTATTATTCCTCGGTGCTGTGTATGCGGGACCCGGAGGTTCAATATTCCGAGACGTGCGCACGCGCCACTCGCGTTTACCGTGAGCAGAGTACGGAGTCCGATGCAAGAAGTGAGCATGCATTACCTCGAAGGATAGTCAGTCAGGACCTCGTGGCACCGGCTAGTAGTTACGTCGGCACGTAACCGTAGCTCTCTGTGACGCGCTGACTTGGGTCGATTGATCTTCTAGCTAGGAAGGTGAGAAGTGCAGTTGCTAGGCGGCGATATGCTAGGATGCTCCCGAAGCGCATGATATACCGTATAAGTAGATAGGTATACTTGTGAGAGCGCCGCGGAGGTATCCGGCCAGGCGGGGCATCCTCTAATACCGTACGAGTATGGTACATGTACGTGCATGCAATGCCATCGACAGATTACGTACATACATAGATACAGGTACGAGTACGCCACTGTAATAGTGGACTCTGGGCCCTCTGGCTTTGATGAATAGAGGGATGTGCATTGATGTAGGCAAAGGGTACGCATGTGCGGGTAACCCAGAGTACCCGTACATGTGTGAGCGAGCATGAAGTCATCTTCATCTAACGAGAGCATGTGCTCTATCTACTTGACGCATCAATCTCAGCTGCACGCTTGCGGATACAGACACGAGCGAGAGAGAGCGAGAGAGAGCCCGAGGTCGTAGAGACCAGTCAGCATTGCGTGCACGTACGAGAGCCGCACGGGCTGATGCTGCAACGGCGCTGTAAATCTCTGATACAGTGGTGGGTGTACGGTATGCATACTTGCATGTGCAGTTGATGTGGAAGCAAGGAGGGTCACATTCAGGTGTCTGGAGACTGGAAGTCACGGAGCTTACAGAGGTTAGCTTTGCATGTACAGCATGTGCGTGCACACACGTACTCTGTACTCTGTACACCTGGACATTTCAGCTACTTAGTCATCGACCCATGAGCTCTATCCCCACCATCATCATTGTGGTGGAGAGTGGACGTTTTCCTAGATGAAGAGGCGGATGGACCGTTGATATTCGAGCCGACATAGGTTGTCAAATACCTCTCAGAAAGGCGACGATTACTAAAAGTGTTTTTGCAGACATCATTGCTATGGCTTCTTGTGTATACGGAGTACATGAATCTGTAGACTTGAACCTTGTGGCTGTACGGATAGACCTCATCGTCTGCCCCTACGGTAACGGACCCACCGCTATACACAGATTACTGGTACCTGTACCCGCTAAGACCTCCAACGCCTATCCGCACATGTACAGCCTACGAGCATTACTATCACACCTACGACTACATTATACAGGACACAGCCAAGCCTGTGGCCAAGCCTCTCCCGGGCTCTTCCTCCCTTCAAATCCCCGGGGCCTCCTACCTGTAGAGTCCAGTATCCCGTAGAGTCCTTCCTAGAGCCAGTCCCTCGTCCTCCCAAATTGTCGGAGCCACAGCTGTTGCGTCGCCATTGCCGCAGCCTCCTCCCCTTCTAGACATTCTAGACACTCCCAGAGTCAGACACTTTAGACGCACACACTCTCTTTCTCTCTCTCTCCCCTCTCTCTCTCTCTCTCCTCTCTCTTCTCTCTCCCACCTTTTCTCCATCCGTAGCGCCCATTCTCATTCTCTCTGCCTCACTTTTGGTGCTGTTCCTCCACCCTTCCCCTTCGCTTTTCCATCAAGACCATTCGACAAAGACGTTTTCTCCCAGCTCGTCATTTACGGGGGACAACAAGAAAAAGAAAAAAAAATAGAGGCCACCCCCCTCCCCCCACCCCCCGGTCGCTTATTCATCCAGCCAGCCTCTCTTTTCTCCTTCTCCCTCCCTCCCTCTCTCTCTCCTTCTCTCTCCGCCACAAACCACAACCACCGCAACCCAACCCACACCCCCCCTATTCCATCACGGCCAGCCTCTTCTCCCCTCCAACCCCGGGAACATCGTCGGCAACCCCCTTAATCTCTCCCTCGATTTCTTCTCGCCTTTCTTTTTTTCTCTCTTTTTTCTTTCTTTCTTTTTTTTTTTGGTTACCAGAGACAAAAAAAGACATACGCACGAGAAATGCCAACGTTTCTCAACGTCGACGTTCAGTCCACAGGCTTCCACGAAAATTCCGACATCCTACACCTCGATCCTCACAGTCAACTCCTCGGCACTCATGCTGCTACGACCAAGGACTCGTCCCTCGTGACAGACGGGCCACCCTTCCGCCGCCACAATCGATCCGACTCCATCAATGAGCCATACGACGACGCTTCCTACTCGTCCACCTCTGACTCCTCCGAACTAGTCTCTCCCATGACGGCGAATGGCACCGACACCGACACCGCCCTGACCGCGACCAGCACCGCTACCACCACCATCGGCAGCATGGCATCCTCTGCCAACCGCAGTAAGGCCAACGGCCGCTTCGAGCACGATGCCGCGCCCGTCAACAGGAACGCCGGCCGCTACGATGCGAATGCCGCCATGCCCCCTCCCTCCACAGCACCACCGTCCCTCCCGCCTATACCGAATGGCCGCCTGTCCAGCAGCTTCACCACCACCATCCTGCCCGACCGCACCGCCGCGACGCGTCACCATCACCACACCCCCCCCAGTGCTACCGTGAATGGTAACATGAGCGGCATCGACGCTGCCGCCACCTCAGACAAGACGCTACCCCAGCTCCCCCACCATGATGCCCAGTCAATTGACCAGCAGCCCGATCGTGCCTTTGGCCGCAGCGGCGAGCATCCCCATCCCAGCAAGCCCTCTCGAGCGGCACCCGTACCCTCCCACACGCCACCCCCCCCCCCTCCTCCCCCCCCTCCTCCCCTTCCGCAGTCACAGTCGCAGTCCCATCTGCCGCCGGCCGATGCCCTCTCCTCGGCAGACACCACGCCCACCAAGCATCGCCTCTCTTCCCCCCCGGCATACCAGACCAACGGCACCTCGTCCACCTCTCTCCACCTCTTCCCGCCCCCACCCGGCTCGACCCTCAAGCAGAGACACACCCTCGAGGTGCCCAAGCTGTCGTCAGCCGCCCGCCACTCGCGCGACGGAGCCGACAGCGTTGGCGGACGCTACTCTCCCAGCCCGCAGACCGTGTCGTCGGCCACCGCCTCGGCCACCGCCACAGGCGCAGCCACAGCCGTCGGGGGGGGAGCGGCGGCAGGCAACAGGAGGCCCTCGCTCAGCCTAGCCCGTAGGACGACCAGGTCCATGCAGTCGGACAACAGGGACGAGGTCGCCCCCGACGAGGACGCCGCTCGCTGGGCGGAGGCGTACCGTCAGAAGAGGGCCAGCAAGCGGAAGCGCAGGGAGGAGGAAGGGGACGAGGATCGCGTCGTCGTAGGCACCAAGGTCGACGAGTCCCACGCCAACTGGGTGACGGCCTATAACATGCTGACGGGCATCCGCGTCTCGGTGTCGAGGACCAACGCCAAGCTCGATCGGGAGCTGACGGATGCCGACTTCCAGGCCAAGCAGAAGTCGACGTTTGACATTGCCGGCAACGAGCTGGTCCCCTCGGCCAAGTACGACTTCAAGTTCAAGGACTACGCGCCCTGGGTGTTCCGGCACCTGCGATCGCTGTTCCGCCTCGACCCGGCCGACTACCTCATGTCGCTGACGGGCAAGTACATACTGTCGGAGCTCGGGTCGCCGGGCAAGAGCGGCAGCTTCTTCTACTTCTCGCGCGACTACAAGTACATCATCAAGACGATCCACCACGCCGAGCACAAGTTCCTGCGCAAGATCCTCAAGGAGTACTACGTGCACGTCAAGGACAACCCCAACACGCTCCTGTCGCAGTTCTACGGGCTGCACCGGGTCAAGCTGCCGTACGGCAAGAAGATACACTTCGTCGTGATGAACAACCTGTTCCCGCCGCACCGCGACATCCACACCACCTTTGACCTGAAGGGCTCCACCGTCGGCCGCGACTACCGGGAGGAGGACCTGGAGAACAACCCGCGCGCGACGCTCAAGGATCTCAACTGGCTCCGCCGCAAGCGCAACCTCGAGCTCGGCCTGTACAAGAAGCACCTCTTCCTCTCGCAGCTGCAGCGCGACGTCGGCCTGCTCAAGCGCCTCCAGATCATGGACTACTCCCTCCTCGTAGGCATCCACGACGTCTCCCGCGGCAACGAGGAGAACCTGCGCGACAAGACGCTCCAGGTCTTCAACCCCGGAGGCGACAAGTCCAACACGGACGACGAGGGCGCCGGCCCGTCCGTCCTGCTGCGGACCCCGTCCAAGCTGGAGAATGCCCGCAAGGCCCGGGAGCTGCGCCAGATGATCCGGTCCGAGAAGCCGGTGCCCATCGGCGAGGCGCTCGACAAGATGCCCAACGAGCTGGCGGAGGGTCAGGGCCGTCCTGGCTTCGTCTTCAACCAGGATGATGGGGGGTTCAGGGCTACACATGAGGACAATGGCCCTGCTGACGAGATTTACTATCTCGGTGTCATTGACTGTCTGACACATGTGAGTTTTTCCTCCTTTCTTCTCATCCCCCTCCCTCTGCTCCTCTTGTTTCTTTCCCTGTCATTTCTTCGGCCCCCCCCCCCCCCCCCCCCTCTCTCTCTCTCTTTGGGAGTCCAAACTCCCCTCGTTTACACTACTCGACTCGAGACAGACTATATACTGACACCCCTCCCACGCAGTATGGAATGATCAAAAAAATCGAACACTTCTGGAAAGGCCTGACGAGCGACAGGAGTCAGATCTCGGCCCTCCCACCCGACCAATACGGTGACCGATTCTACCAATTTATCGAGGGTGTCACCATGTCATCCGAGGAGGCCCATCGCGAGGCCCAGCGACTGGATGAGGAGATGGCGGCCGAGGCCGAACGCGAGCTCGAGGAACAGCGTGAGCAGCGGGAGCAGCGGCAGAGGTCGAGCCGAGACGGCCCCCCGCCACCCGTGCCGGACCACCTGCCCCCGGCGCCGCCGGGCACCCACGACAGCACGATGGCCAGGGCGTCCAGGGCGGCGGTCCGCAGCGAGGAGAACGGGGCATCGGAGAAGCACGTTCCCGAACGGACGCTCCGCACCATCGCTCCGCCCCACTCCTCGTCATCGGGCGAGAAGCGGGACTCGGCCATGCTCGAGCCGGTCCTGCCGGTGGTCGAGGAGGCGGGTGAGAACGGCAACGGCAACGGCGGCGACGCATCCCGTCTCACGCCCAGGAACTCGCGCGACAAGAATCTGTACGGCCCGACCACGCCCAGCCGGATGCAGGCTCCCACCCGAGCCCCACCGCCGACACCGCCCAAGACCGCGACGGGAACGGGGGCCGACTCGGAGAAGGAGAAGGCCGAGAGCGTCGATAGCGGGTACCATGCTTCGGGACAGCCTCGTCTGAGCAGGGAGAGTGTGCGGAATAAGACTCTGCCTCCTCTGCCGCCGGGGGATCCTAGACGTCACAACCAGCAGCAGCAGCAGCAGCATGAGGAGCAGCAGCAGCGTGAGCACGGTCGATTCGGCATGACGGCTTAGATGTTCGCATGCTGTCTGTCCAGGTGATGGGTCATCTTCACCCTCCACTGCATCGTCTTTCATCGTATCGACTCGGTTCCTCTTTATACTGCATGAACAAATTCACAAAAACAAAAACAAAAAAAACCCCAGAACCAACCAAAAAAAAGGACAGGTGAGGAAACAACCTTCTGTCATTGCATCAACAACCGGGCGCTCTTCTTTTCTTCTTCTTCCTTTCTTTGTATATTTTATGGTTGCAGCAGTCAAAACAGGGACAAAAAGAAAAGGAAAAAGAAAAAAAAAGAAAAAAAAAGACATTGGACAACAACAGTCTTGGGGTAATTTTTCTTATAACAAAACGAAAAAGGAAGAGAGGGAAAAAAAAAACAGTCGACAGCAACCAAATGATACCAATGCGCTCTTGCACCAAGCATGTTTCTTTTTTTTTTTTTTTGTTTTTTTTTGTTTCTTATACAGTCTTGTACAAAGCCGTTCTGTTCACCTTTTTTTTCTTTCTTGTTCATCTCTTGTCCTTTTTTTTCTCTCATCATAATGCGCGCAACACTCTTTTTTTTCCCCCTTGTCTTGGGTAATCATCATTCCTTTTATAAGTCTCCTTCCCTCCCCCCCCTTTGTTTGGCCGGCGTGCAATTGAAATAGAGAGTTAGATGGCTCGCGTGTGTGTTTTTTTCTCACTTTGATAGTTGTACAGAGATTCATTTTTTTTAATTGTACAAGAAGAGAGAAGGAAGGATTTATAAAATAAACATGTTGTACATTTTTCTTTTCTTCTCCCGTGAATCAAAAGATGAGAGTAGAGAGGGAAAAAAGAAGGAAGAGTCAGATCAGCTCCTCTTGCGATCCAACATGTCCTGAATATCGTCCTTACTCTTTACCCCCCTACCAGCAGAAGCAGAAGGAGAAGCCGAGGGAGGAGAGGAGGGGTCGGTCTGGAGGGGAGCAAAAGTGCTGGTGACGACCATCTCCTGAGCGCCCTGCCTCCTGAGCTCATCCAACCTCCTCCTCTTCTGCAGGTCGGCGACGCGCCACTGCTTAAAGTACTTGACCCAGGCGGCGGAGCAGTTGGAGTCGAGCAGCCTGGACTGGTCGGCGCAGAAGGTGAGGTCGGCCCTGCCGGCCTCCTTGACCGGGTCGTCGATGGCGTGGGCGTCGAGGCAGGCGAAGTAGGCGTCGCGGGCGGCCCAGCACTTTTGTCGTTCGGATCGGGTGGGGATGGCGTCGCCGGACCGGATGGCGTCGCCGCGGGTGGAGGACGAAGAGAATGGCCAGACCATTTTTCTTCTTTTCTTGTTTCGGATCCTTCTTCTTCTTCTTCTAATCTCGAGTCGTTCTTTCGCTCTCTGTGTGTAGAGATAGGGAGAGATGTGTGTGTATGTATGTGTGTGTGTGTGTGTGTGTGTATTGATTTGAGAGGTGGAGAGTCCGAAATTCCCTTTTTTTTCTTCTTCTTCTTCCTTTTTCAAATTTTCATATGGTTATTTCGCTGTACATGTCGGGACTGATGATTGTCTGATGAATGGGGAGGAGAAGAAGAATGTCTTCTTCTTCTACCGGCTGTTGGGTTATTTGTCGGTTGAGGGTAACGAGTGGGAAAGAGAGAGAAGAAGAGATTATGTGGCAGAATTTCCAAAGGCGGTGAACGTAAACGGTCTTAGCGTGGAGCCGCTGTTTCCCCGTCCCCGTCCGTTTGAGGAAGATTGACGATCCGTCATTTCCCCCTTCACTTTGAACTCTTTTCCAACATTCACGCACATGATACAGCTTGAACACACTTCTCTCTCTCTCTCTCTCTCTTTTTCTACTCTTTTCTTCTCCTCTCCTTCTCATATCACGAAACACTCTCATATCCAAACTTTAAACACGACGTATAAACTCTTCTCTTCCAACCGACATCACGACAAACAACCATCTCGACTCCATCATCACATTACGACATAAAAATACAGCTTCCAACCACTCTCGGTCCCCATTCATCGAAACCCCCCCCCCTCCTCCCGGACCGATATCATCAGACGCCTATTCCCTCGAAACATGCGCCGCCGGTAAACCGTCAGGTTTAAAGAAGAACGGAAAGAAGAGAAGAGAGGGAAAAGAAATCCACATAACCCCCCTCCCGACGGGATCGAGATGGCCCGTCGTCGCAGACCACCCCGCGCAGGAGCCCTCTCGGAACTCCAACCGGTCGAGATAGCATGCCAGATCGCCACTCTCCAGGCGTTATACTACGTCGCTGCCGTCGTGCTCTTCGTCCTGACCACCCTCCTGGCCGGCGCTAGCTTCGACCTCGGCATCGTCCTTGGCTGGGATAGGGTTCGCGGTGATACCACGCAGGGTTGGGTCATGTCGTTTGTCTGGATCCTCGACGGTGGAATCTGCATGTACGTTACCGCTCTCTCTCATCCCCCTCTTATCGCCCTTCTTTCTCTGTCCTCTATCTTTTTTTTCTTCTTTTTTTTGCTGCTGCCACTGGCCTCTCTCACTCTCTCACACACACATACATACGCGCTCTTCTTTTCATTGTCTTGACAGAAGAAGAAGCTGACAAGACACATCTGGTCTCTTTCAACCCGAAAAAAAAGGCCCATAGCTATAGTCCTCCTCATCGCTAGGAGTAAACTAGTCCCCGACTTCGCCTTGACGATCCACTTCCTCCACCTCCTCATCACGACCGCCTACACGCGCTCCTTACCCCGTCACTCGCTCTGGTGGCTCACCATGGCCGGCTCTTCGGCCCTCTGCGTCGTCCTCGGTATGTGGGCTTGTCGGTACCGGGAGCTCCAGCCCGTCTTCTTCGCTGGCGGTCGCATACTCGGCCACAACAATAACGCCAGCAGCAGCAACAACAACAACAACAACAACAACAACAGCGGCAGCAACAACGATAACAACGACAACGGCAGCGTCACCGCGCCGTCCAGAAATGCTCCCGTCGGTGCTGCAGGAGACGGTCATCGTCGCCTCGTAGATGAGGAGATGGGCTTGGGCGGATATGAAGAGTATGAGATGGATGGTATCAAGTCGGGTGCTTTAAGGGGATACAAGTAAACGGGCGTTTTTGTTTTTTTTTCTCTGGAATTGTTTTGAACCACCCCCCCCCCCCCCCCTTTTTTTTTTTCATGCTTCTTTCTCTGCATTGCTAGGAGTTTCTTTTCGTTAATTTCTTCTTCTTCTTTTCCCTTGCCTTGTTTGGTTCATGTAATATAGAGCTGCTACTATTGCAGTATCCTTGATAGCTTAGTCGAAACGGATAATGAATGACCTCTTCTTCTCCATTCTCTTTCTAGCATGGAGACACCGATACTCGGATACTTTGATTAAACAAGTCAGCATGGAGACGCTCCATGGTCCAAAAACAAGAAACACCCCGTCAACAGTCACGGCAGATATATATATATATATATCCACGTACATGCATGCAGAATGAAGAGGATACACAGGATACACAGGATTACAGACACACGCAACCACACGCAACCACCCACCTAAGCCCCCGCGACGACAGCCAGATTATCGTAAATCACCCTCTTGACCTCGTATAGTGTGCTCATCCTCCCTCCCACCGGCAGGCCCACGCTCTCGACCTCTATCCTCCCCTCGGCCGTCTTCTTGACCGCCACCGTACCGTCCACCACCAGCGTACCCTCTCCTCTGAACTCGGCCGTGTGCCGAGCGCTCTGCATGGCCCTCCTCAGATCTGCCAGTCTCAGGTCGCCGACGTGTAGGGGTCGAGATGCCGCCGACCTGGCTGCAGCCGCCGTCACGAGGTTATTCGTCGAGATCACGTCTAGCATCGGCATCGCACCCGCGACATTAGCCGTCTCGTCTGCTGCCTCCCTTGCTGCCGTGCCTTCCGTCTTCCGTCGCTTGCTGGGTGTCGACTGCTCGTCGTCATCGACGGATCCCACCGTGGTGGTGGTGGTCATCGTCGTCGTCGTCGTCGACGACTGCGACGCTGTTGCTGCCGCTCGAGCTTGAGTGAGCAGCTGTCCGCTTATGGTCACGATGCCCAGACCCTTTACGTTCTGCCACCTGAGCTCCTTGACCAGGCCGTCCGCCAGCCTGACCACCCACGAGTTCGTATCGACGCTGGCGTCCACCGACACGCCCATCTCAGGCACGAGGATCTCGACGGCACTGCCAGACTCGGCACCGCCACCGCCCCCGCCGAGGGCGACGCGGCAATCGGCGGCCAGGGCAGTCGTCTCCTCGCGGTTTCCTCCCACGAGGATGAGCTTGCGTGGTTGGATGAGCGGGATGAGCATGTTGAGACTGCGCTTGTCGTGCAGGCCTGAGAAGTCGGCAAAGGCGATGCGCAGGTTCACCGCGATGCTCTCCGGCGTGTACACCAGCTTGGATGGCTGCTGGGCGCTGACTTCCGGCACCTCGTTGTCCACCGCCGTATCCAGCTCGTCTGGGACGACACCCTCGCCGCCATCTTCCCCATGCTGCTGCTGCTGCTGCTGCTGCTGCTGCTGTGACGATGATGTACCACCTTCGCCAGCCTGCTGCTGCCAGGCAGAAGTGGCCGTCGCCTTGGCCACGTCACCCCACTTTCGCTTCTTGCCGAGCTTGTCGTCATCGTCTGCCGTCCCAGCCGGGGACACCCCGGACGGGACGCCGCCGGCCGTGTCGTCCTCCTTCTCTTCTGCTCGCAAGAAATCCTCTGGGCGGATCAGCTCCCCGTAGTCATCCGTCCTCTTCCTCCTGACGGCAAGGGGGAATGACCTCTCCCTACCCTTCTTGCCGCGCACCTCGAAGTCGTAGACATCCTTCTTCTTGATGAGGACATTGATCCCCAGGTCTTCGTCGCGCAGGACCACCTTCTTGCGGCCGGCCTGTCCCAGTGCGGCAGACACGTTGAGCGCTTTGCCCTGCTTCTCGCCGTCTTCGTCCTCTGACTCCGACTCCGACTCCGACGACGCGTCGTCGACGACGTCGCCCGAGGCTTCCAGCCCCGCAGCCCCGCCGGTCTGCTGCGTGGACTGCAGGTGCCGCTGCGTCGTGAGCCACTGCTCGTACACGGCCAGTTCGTCGCCCTCGAGGGCCTGACGCTTGGCCTCGTGCAGCTCGATGACACGTCCATCTCCTCCGACCTGCTGCGCATCCTGCTCCTGCTTGCTCTCGCTCCACCACTGCCAGAGCGTCCTGGCCACCGACGGCGGCGATCCCGCGCATCGGGCGACGCCCGGCCTGTCCGTCAGGATGACCAGGTTCCTCGGGTCGTGCGCCAGTCCCCTGAAGAGGTCTCTCGAGAAGCCCCAGTCCATGCTCGCGTCGCTGGCCAGGATCACGCGTCCTGCCCCCTCGACCGCGTCCTGGCCGAGGAGCTTGGCAATCTGCGCCCTGCGCTCCACGAGCCTCAGATACTTGAAGTCGAAGGGACCTCCGCCGCCGGCCTTGGCCTCCCCGGCCGCACCATTCACCTTGCGCTGACCCTCGGCAAAGGCCTCAAACTCCTGTACGATGCTGTCGTCCATCCACTCGAGCATGCTCCTCCCGTAGCGCATGGTGCTCGACATGTTGCGCCCGGCGAGATACAGCCTTGCCGATTTCAGGCTGACGCCGCTGCCGTCGCTGCCGCCGTCGTCGCTCCGCCACGCGTGCTCGAGGAGGTACGCCATCTCCAGGACGCGCGCGCTCGAGTCGACGGGGATGAGCACCGTCCCGCCGCGCGCGACGCAGGGCCGTATGAGGTCGAGGAGGTGCTCGTCGCGCTTGGCGCGCCCACCCGCGGGGGCGTTCCTGTCGCCGCCGCGACTGCTGCAGATGAGGGCCGTGGGTTTGCGCAGCGCCTCGATGACGTCTGCGCCGCCCCCGCCCGCGCCGCCCAGCCACGCGGCGCCCGCAAAGACATTCTCGCGCGCCTGGTTCCAGTCCACGGCGTAGACGATGGACTCCAGCCCGTGCTGCAGATGCCATATCGTACCGCCGAGGGTGTGGCCCGAGTTGTACGCCGTGATGGTCAGGCCGTTGAGCGGCGGGGAGAATGGTGACGGCAGAGGCTGATGCGGCTGCGAATATTTCAGGGGCTGGATGAGCGAAAAGTATCGGGCAATCTCGTCGGCCGTTGGAGCCTCTAGCAGGATCTGGCCTTGCCCCTGCTGCTGCTGCTGCTGCTGCTTATCGTCCGTTGCGGATCTCGAAGTTGTCTGGGTGTTGAGGAAGCCGTACGCCATCGTATCCGTGAGTGATTCGCGCGGTATCGTGGTGGCCGCCGCGGGGGCGGAAGAGTATAGATCCTGCAGGAGCGTCCGGCCCAGGTCGATGATGGGCCGGGTAGCGTAGACGGGCACGCGGGTAAAGAGGGGGAAGTTTTTGCAGCAGTGTGCGTAGGCGGCTAGATGCGACGCCTTGGCATGGGTGAGGAGGATGAGGGAGAGGGTAGGGATTTGCCTGTTGATGATATAGTGTCAGCTGTTTGCTCTTCTTTCTCATACTCCAACTCCTCCTCTTCCTTCCTTCTTTTTTTTGGGGGGGAGGGGAGGTAGGGTAGGGTATTTTCCGTCATCGCCTTCTCCGGCGACATTGTGTTGCAACTCACTTTTCCAGCTCCCGCAACTTGTTAACATCAAACGACTCATCCCATCCGACATCGACGAGAACCTTGACGCCGCCATCTAGCTCGAGTAGGGATTGTGATGCAGGTGACTCTGTCAGAGCTCCCTGCAGTGAACAAAAGGTGAACATTTTCTTCTTCTTTTCTTTTCTTTTCTTCTCTTGTCCTTTTCTTGTCCTTTTCTTGTCCTTCTTCTGTCGTCTCTCCCTCTCTCTCTCTCTCTCTCTCCCCTATATCCCGTAGCGTTTTTTGCGTCGGCCGAGACTTGGAAATGAGAAAGGACGTCGGGCGGTAACCTTATGTGTCCATGGTAAGTCGTCGGGGTTGTGTTTCTTATGTCGAGACGTCGGAGCTTGGTGTTTTGCCTCTCTTGACAAGAAGGAAGAGAGAGCGTCAGGGTCGCGTTTTGGTGTTCTGGTGACGGAAAAGGTACGAGAGTGTATGGAGTACGTACCTCCTTCACCTTTCAATGGAGGAGGGTGTAGGGTATTTCATTCTCCAGATACGGATTTTTGATCGTCGGACCATATCACGTCACGAGAGTCATTAATGCATCCCGGAGCTACGAGTATTATCTGGCTACGTTTTCTCCTCACGATGGATGCATTTACCAGCAGTTTTCATCTGCCGGTGCCTCGTCGCAATAGTTGGGTCGTTCATAGGTAGGACTTCTATAGTATTGAGAAGGAATTATTGTAGTGTTTCTTGAAATTCATTCATGCTGTTTTCGTGTCCAGCAAACGCCAGTCAACCTAGTAATGACCCCCTCCAATTTGCCCTTTTTTCAACAAGGGCTGTAACAAAACGCTGTCGCCCAAAGACCCAAAAAATAAAAAATAGATATAGCATCATGACATGTACAGAACTCCTCCATATCCCGTCTAGATAGATATATATATATACTGAAAAAAAAAGTAGCGATAAGAGAAGAGAAGAAAAAAGAGGCAAGAGGTTGCTCAGCAAAGTTTTCCTACAGGACAACCTGCTTGAAAGCGCTCCTGTCCAGCATGCGCAGTGCGCGGTGGTCCTCGCTCACGGCGGACGGATCGGCGCCGGAAGCAGAGCTGTCGCCTTCTGCGCTGCCGCAATCGTTGAGGAGGACCGACAGGCCGGACCTGGCGGGCTGCGGCTGAATCGGCGCCGTCGTCTTTTCAGAGTACGCAGTCTGGGGAGGCGTCGGAGTCCGGCTGCTGCTGGGAGGGGAGGCGCCGGCAGCCTGCGGGCGGCTGGCCACCGAGTTGAGGGTCGGTAGTGGGCCGTGGGGGTTCCTGGACAGGGCGGCGGCACTGAGGCGCGGGTCCGCCACCGACTCCCTCGGAGGGGCCAGGTCGCTGATGCGTGGCGGCGAGGGCATACGGTAAGCCTGCGAGGCCTGGTAGGGAGGGAAAGCCGTCGACTTTTGCGGGGGAGGGAGGGTGATGGAGGCGCGGGGCTCGTAGTGGTGGGCCGGGGCGTAGTGCGAGGGAGCGGCCGGAGGCTGAGGCATGAGCGGGTGGTGGTGAGACGGAGGCGGGGCGTGTCCGTGAGTCGCATAGGGCGGCGCCGTGGTGTAGTGGCTGTAGGGAGGCGTGACGGCCGGGGAGGGAGGCCAGGCGTGGGTCTGCTGGGTGCCGTAATGGGGCGCGTAGTGCTGGCCCGGGTATGGCTGGGGAGGCAGGCTGTAGTTCTGCATGGGTGCGCGGGTGAGGGCGGGCGTCTGGTTGACCTCGCCCATGCTGGACTCGGGGTACATGCCCTTGACGGGGACGACGCCGCGCAGGGAAGGGTCGTTTGTGGGCTGGGACAGGTCGGGCTGTCCCGGCTGGGGGCGCGAGTAGTAGGAGATGAGGTGGAGATGCTGGCCTGTCGACGTGGTGATGCTGAACGACTGCTTCATCAGGCCGTCGGCCTTGTAGCGGTAGCCCTCGGGCTCGCCGTCGTCGTGGTCCTCGTCGCTGCCGCGATTCGAGTCGGGCGTCTTGCCGGATCCCCTGCGGCCGGTGCCGAAGCCGCCGCCGCGCTTGCCCTCCATCTCGCGGTACGTCAGGAAGCTTCCCGACACCCGGCTGGCGCTCCACGACTTGCCGTCGGTCCACCTCCTCATGCCGGCCTCGCGCTCATCCCAGACGAAGACGGACCCCGAGCGGATGGACTGGCGCTCCTTCTCCGAGAGTCGGCGCTGCACGCGGGGCAGGATACCGAGGCGGCAAGCCTCGAACAGCTTGATGGCGTCGGCGGGCGTCCGCACGTAACCGTGATACGTCTCCATTGCGTGTGAGTTGCGGATTGATATGCCGTCGTGAGTGGCTGATCTGTTCTGGCCCAGTCGGGTGGATGAAAGGGGGGGTGTATCAGAGCTGATGGCAGCCCCCCTGTACAGATTTCTCGAGAAGAGAGAGAGAGAGAGGAGAGAGAGGAGAGATAGAAGTATGGCAGTGGACAAGCCTATATCTTCGACTCGGATGTGTATATCTTGCGTCGACTTTGGGGGTTCGGTTGTAAAGCAGCTGCTGAGGCGGATGGGCGTTGAAGAAGAGGCTGCCTCGATAATAGAGCTCGCACGTATCTATCTATATATGTAGATATAGATATGTGTGTACATATATGTCCTCTGTGTGCAAGTAGCCTCGGAGGGGGGGTGTGTGTGTCGTTAGCTTGATCGGGCGTGGTTAGGATAGGAGGAGGATGTGTTGTAGAGGATCTCAGAGAGGAACATGGGAGGAACGAGAAGGAGAAATGGAATAAGAAATAGGGGAAGAGGAATTCGAAGAAGAGGAAGGAGGGGAAATATGATGATCAGACGGGGTAAAATAAGTGTATTAAACAAGAGACGGTGGGCTGACAAAGGGCAGGTAACCATGGAGGTCCCATCCGTGGTGAATCGGCGGGACCAAGGGCCGGACAATGCAGAGGGTATGGATAAGTCGGCTCGGGCGAAGCCAAGGCTCTGCTTACTCCGTAGTGTTACTAGTAATAGTGTAGAAGAGCAACGTTCTAGGTGGACGGGTTGGGGGGGGGAGTGGGTATAGCTCTTTGTGGGTCGGCAGGGTTGGTAGATGGGGGGGGGGGGGGGTGTGGCTCATGACCACGAGGGATACGTGTTGTGGTGCATGTGTGGTGGTGCATGTGTGTGCGCTTGTATGGCGTATGTGTTTTTCATTGGTATTGGTTGTCGTGTATCAACGTCAGGGTGGCCGTTCAGAGCTGTCGCTTGTACGCTGCATTGTGCGGCGATTCAAAAGTGAGGATGATGAAGCCGATAACGATGGGTGATGATTGTGACGATGCCATGGGCCTGGAAGATCATGTGACAGGAATATATTGGAAGGAAAGAGAAGAAAAAAAAAGTTTGCTTCTGCTTCTACAAGAGGGAAGGAGCGAGGATAGCACGTCCCGGAAAAGAGCTGCCGCCTGCGCCTGCCGTGACAGTTGAAATGGCAGGAGCGTTTTGGGTATATGCCCATTTTTTTCTTCTTTTTTTTTTTCTCTTCTTTCTCTTTTTTTTTTTAGGGATACCGTTTCAGACGGTGATGGGTATATGCCGTACTATCCGTAGCCATAATCATGACCATATTTCCATATTCCCGTATTCCGTATGACGATTCGTGCTCCATTATCCCGTACCCGTGTCCATATTACTACTACTACTACTACTATAATTACTATTATTATTATTATTATTATTACTATTACAACTTACTTGGTATGAACATAGAAAATGGTCCATATCCGTACTCTTATTAATGCTCATAATATCGAGTCGCAGGTACGACGTATCCGTATCCGTACCTCGGCTGTCTTTACTCTGATTCGATAATCGAGGTCCTCTACCATCCAGACCAGCGCCCCCCCCCCCCCCCCCCCAAAACGACCCAGACTAGACAAGACCCTTTACCCTTCTTTTCTTTTTTTTTTTTTTTTAAAAAAAATACATTTATTATGATTATTATTGCCATCGTTGTTTTATTTGTATGCATGTATGTATGTATTTTATTTTTAACCCGTGAGCACCTTTATTTTCTTTCTCTTCTTCTCGAGTCTCCTCCCCTTCTGGTGCCGCGTTGCCGGATTCCTTGGTCTGTTATAACTTATGTGCAGGGTGTTATCCGTGGCGCAGCTACGAAACACGCAAGCCACCCATCGGCGAGAGCAACGAAAGCCTCAAATCCAATAGTTTCCATCATGAAACTACTCCGTAAAACGGTCATCTCTGTAGACACAGTAGACACAGTAAGTGCAATGACTAGACCAAAACTCTTCTTCTCATTGTGAGGCCGCCCATTCATTTTTTTTAATCTTATTTTCGTCTTCCAGTCGCGGTACCCCCCCCCCCCCCCCCCCCCCCCGGGGGAGGTTGCGGTGGTGCGACCTCTTACGCTAGACTAGATGATATATAATACAGTATAGGAGAGAGGAAGGCAGGGAGAATGGGAGTCGAGAAGAAGAGTCGAGAGAAGAAGGGAGTCTAGAGGCTTAAGCTTAATGCACGCAACTCGCTAAATAATACTCCGTATCGGCCCAGATCTTTGGCGCTGTTTCGCTGACCGTTGCTCTAGTACAAGTTGGGAAGTATTCCTGTATGGATTACGTACCGTTGCCGAGTACGGAGTGATTGATACCCTCAACTCTTTCTTGTCAGGATGAACGACGGATTAGAGAGATCTCGACTCTCTGCCCCCATCTCCATCCTCGGATTCATATGAAGCCTCTCTCTACTCTGTGTGTGTCTCGTCATCCATTGCCACGAATCTATGTTGTGTACCCACTGAACGGCTCGACAACAAGTAATCTACCATCGGTACGGGATATAGATTATTCATGGCTCTTTAATCATGTGCTCGCGTACAAGCTCATACGGTGTCGATGGCAAAATAGATGTGTCTATTATTAATACATACTCGTACATTCACTCATAGAAGATGTTACTCACTTGTCTGTCAATTTCTATACGAGTATACTATGCTCGTCACGTATGCATATGTTGGACTCGTCTAGAAACTACTGAATTGGGTCAGAGGTTGAGGTTGTCGTCGTCGTTGGTCTCTCTCCGAATGCCTAAATGTCCGTCCAGAACGCAGCAGAGATGAGAGGATGGGAGAGAGAAAGAAAGAAGAAAAAAAGAAAGAAAAATGTCAATAACGAGGATGAACGAGGACCATCAGGTCGTGATTTCCTCTTCTTCCTACATGCTTGGCCTCCGTCAATGAACCGGCCCACCACTTCCGAGTCAGAAGAACACCCCTCCCTTCGACTAGACTCGCCCCCCCCCCCCCTTTTCCTTCTGTGCCGGACAGCCGAAGCGATCCTACAAAACTTCCAAACGGAGAAGCACCACTACGCAGAAGAGTCGTCATCGTCTGATTACGGCATATGATTCGCACGTCGCAATACCGAGTCACCACACACACACACACACACACACACACACCCGGGCGCGCGCGGCCAGGTGGGAGAGGAAACTGGTCGGCACCGTCAAAGCCGATATTAGACTCGGTGCCCCGGAGATGGAGATGGCAGAGATGATAGATGCGACATTGATGTGATGAGCCGCCCATGGCCGACCTGGCGTTTCCGTGAAACCTATATAGACGTTCCCAGCGTCGACCTGTTACTCCTCATCGGTTTGCCAGTTTGAGTTGCGGTAACTATATATATATATATATATATGTATATATACATATACATATATAAAAAGGAAAAGGAAAAGACTGCCTGGCTGGGGCAGGAAATAAGCATAATACTAAGTAATAAGGGTCGGACATAGGACATATAAAATTTTTTGAAGGAAAAAAAGAGACGGCTTTGCCACTTGACTTTTGATATTTGTATTATACGAGTGTAGTAGTCATCATCTCTATGCAGATTACACGGAGCATCACCATGTACAGATAGTTTCGACTTTCCAAAGGGCTTGTTACAGTTGCCGTGATATATTACTCATGTTGTGCATATTTCGCACCATCATGATCGATATGATTTATGGTCTGATGGAGAGAGGGTTTCCCCCTCTTTCCTCTTTTTATTTTTTTTTATTTAATAATTTTTTTTTCAATTTTTTTTTCCCAAGCACCTGTGTAACCTGTACTTGCGGGAAGGAACCAACACCTAGGAATCTGCCGTGGGGATGTCTGAGTCGCAAATGTTCCTGCCGATATGGACATCACCCACCCAGTCAGTACTCGGTAGAATAAGAATGCTGAGTACTCGCAGTATGCGTAAAAGAAGAGTGCCGTCCAGCCGAGCAGTGGGCTTGGGGATCATCCGGACGTGGGTCTCTCGGTCGGCAGAATCGGCACCTGCGACACACAAGACGAGACTGCAACGAGGCAGGTCCAGTCACGCCGAGACGGGGACCGGCAGAAGGGGAGGGGGGAGGGATTAAGGTAGGTAACAATCTACTGGCTAAACATGTCGCTGTTACGAACACGACGAGCAACGATAGCAGATGGCAGAGCAGCAGTATTAAGATAATAATACTGCGTAGTAGTGGTGGCAGCACAGTCTGATGTAACCCGTCCGTACCGTCATGAGATGCGGAGCACATATATCAACATCATCGTCACCGTATTGATACTGATACTCCCTCCCCCTTGGAGAACCCTTTTGCAGGCCACTCGTAATATACCCTACTGGGACTAGTCGTCGGTGGCATCGTGGCAGGGTGATTTGCGCAGCACCACGACGTGCCCACCGCGTAATCTGTGCACGGAGGCATGCACATGGATAGAGCCTTTTATTCCCACCTATCTGAGGCCTCCGGCCCCGTCTTTCCCCGGAAACAACGATGACGACGACGCAGAGCAACATGGCTGGGGGGTTCGACTACGAGTACTCTTACGTAGCTGCTCGAGCAGCTGTTCAGCATCACCACTACCTACCGGGTACCCGTACAGGAGTCGTACTACCTGTAGCCAGGGGGGTTTCGAATGAACTCGTCGGCAAGCTTGTTCCGCGCTTAAATCGGCACACGAGGTCCCTGTACGAGTATGGGAGTATTATCACTCTGCAGACGGTGTTTTCTTTCTTTCTTTTCTTCTTCTTGTGCTGGGGTCATAGGAGAGAGGTGATAATCATTGCGTCTCAGACTGGTGGTTGCTACTGTTTCTTCTTCTTCTTTCTTCTTCTTCTTCTTCTCATTCCAAGGTCTACATACATACATGATGAATACTACCTCTCTCCTACGGCCCCAACACAACACACTAATGAATAAAATAAAACAAGACGCTTGATAATACTCGTTGACATCTATTACTCAGATAATAATACTCTGCAATACATCGTAGTACGTAATCATAGTTAACCGTGGAACAAGGTTGTTGTATTGTGGGTAGCACTAGACAGTTGAAACTACAGACTATATCAAGCTGGGAATAAGGATAAGGATAAACAAAAAGTCAACATCCCAACAAGCCACATAACTCTGGAAGTATGCTGACCCGGGAAAAAAAAAAAGAAGGAAAAAAAAGAGGCGATTGGTAAGGGGGAAGGCAGCACAAGGTAGAGAGAATGTGTGGGTGGGCTGGTTACTCCTAAGCTTTGTGGATGATATAAAAGTGTGGATCGATAATTATTGGTTGATAACCAGTCATATGATGCGCTACGGATATGACGGCTGAAGCAGGTTGGGGGGGGGGGAGGGAGGCCTGGAACCTTTTTTTTTTTTCTTTCCCTTTTCTCTTCCGGCGCTCTACTCTTGCGTTTTCCTTTTCGATTAAGCATGAATTTAAGAGTTTGTCAGCCCATCTTAGCTTAGACGCTAAGACCGTATTAGAGGGGTGGGGGGGGGCGTGTGCATTCGGAAACTCCGTAAGAGTAAGTGTTGGAAACGTCATGAGATCCATCTTGTGGGCACCACTCCCGGCTCACGGGTGCCGAGCGGAGACACACTTTTTTCTTCTTCTTTCTTTTTCTTCTTCTTCTTCTTTCTGAAGTATTCTGACCTCTGGTGTCGATCGTTCAGGCAAAAGAGGGGGGAGAGGGGGGGTGGGGTTTCATGTGCCATGTCCTGGCCGCTGTTAACAAGAAAGTCCAGAGTCAAAGGTTGAGAAGGTTGAGAAGGTAGAGAGAGAGAGAGAGAGAGAGGGTTGGAGCCGATAGGTTCTCGGAGCAGCTTGGCTGAACCGACAAGAGGAGAATGACAACTTGGGACAGACACTGAGAGATAGACGGAACCCAAGAAAGAAGGAAGGGAGGGGGGGAGGGAAGGAGGAAGAAGACTAATAGTGTCTCATGCATGTGCAGGGATGTCAACACCATCAGAGTGCCGTCCGAACCGGCTTGGCATCCAGGGGATAAAGGATTGGTCGTATTCCCGTACCTGTGTACTTGGATTGGCAAAAGCCAAGACTAGGGTCCAGGGCAAGTACGAGTTACTCTGACGAGAGACAAGACAAGAAAATTAGGTAATTAGGGGAGGGATATGTGTGTGCTTTCTTTTTTTCTTTTTTTCTTCTTTTTTCCTCTTCATCTTTTTTTTATTATTTGGGGTTTTTTCTTGTTTTGTTTTCGGGATTGTCATGAAGCTTATGCTTAAGTCTTTTTTTTTTTCTTCTCTTCCCTCCCTCTCTCCCTCCCCCCTCCCCCCCCTTCTCTCTCTCTCTCTCTCGGTTGTCAGTTCTCTTTGGCTCCCATCCAACCATTCACATTCCCCATTATCCGTTGTCATAGGTGATCAGGAGACAACTCTAACGAGTCATCTCCCCTCCTGCACAATGTCATCACAAGACCAGGTCCCTAAGAGGCCCTTTTCATCTATCTATGACGACGATTCAACCCGGGGAACACCGGACTGGGAATCAGCGGGCGCAAAGTTAAGCGAGGACCAAAAAGAGTCTAAGGGGAGGGGAGGGGAGGGGGGGTAACCATGCTCCGTAATTCGCACAAGAGATAATAAAAAAAAGCCCTGTCTCGGGAATACAAGGTATCGCTACTTGTACCCGCAAAAAAAGTATAAAATTTTCTAAAAATTATAAACACACACACACACACACACAAGGCAAAAAAAAAGTATGCCTGATGCTTATACCCTATTCTAATCTAGACCAACCACACAGCTTAAGCATACACACACAAGGGTAACGTGTACGATGAGGCGTAACGAATGCGCTTACTCTATTCTATCTCGGTCATTGAGTGAAATGGACCAGTGGGAGAGAAAGGAAAAATCATCCGTTCGAGTAGATGCAGAATGGTACATCACACGGGAGTCGTGAGTATTATAGATGTATATATATATATATATATTTATTTATTTATTTATATATGTGTATATATCTGCATATGTATATCTGCATATATATACATGTATCGGTAAGTATACATATATCGGTAAATATATATCTGTACTCTGTATGAATATTACTCGGTACTCTGTCATGAGAAGAAGAATACGTCTCGCGACTCCACATGCCCTGCCAAAAAGGCATCGCCACATGGATAAATCGGCACGGTATCTGTTTTACAATTACGAGTCCCGCCGCCTCTTGTCTGTACCTCTGTACTCCTCATCTCAGACTGCTATTATTAATACTGGTACTGAGTACGGGGAGTACATACACTGCAACGTACGTACGGGGAATGATACGCGACGCAACTTGACCAAAGCTATTATTGAATAGTATCATTTACTTGGCAATAATATTCTCAGCATGCTTCCCACGTCCCCCCCCCCCTTCCCCCCGAGTACGTACCATGCCAAGACTTGAAGAATGCCGAGCTTCCTTGAGCATCCCCACAGTCTGTACATGGTTCTCTTGCTTAAGCTTATTTCACGAGCTGCTCGCGGGTTTTTTTCCCTTTGGTCGCGGGCGTTGCGGTAACTCCGTCTTCTTACCATCCCTCGCCTCGATCAGCACGGCTGACTACATGATACATGATGATGCATCGCAGTCAGCATCCCAGTACGTGGTCATACAGAAGAGCATACACCGGAAGGAGGAGACCAGCTCTCTCCATCAGCTCCAGCTCCGTCAACTCGCCTCCGTACGCTTCACTACATCGCACTCAGCTTCCTTAAACCAGACCCCCCTTCTCCTCTTCCCAAACCCACCCATTACACACTCACTACTCACTCCTTCCGAGTGACAGAACCGCGCTGCGTCATGTCATCCGGCAAAATCGGAACGATCGGCATCTTCGACCCGTTTCGAGTTCCAACCCACGCCCCCCTCCTCCCTCTTTCTGTCTTTGCCCTCTCTTCCTTTCTTTCCTTGCCCTCTCTCTCTCTCTCTCTCTCTCTTCTTTCTTCTGCCTTATTGCCGTGCCGTATGCCGATTGTCATCGCTTGGCTTTTTGGCCTTTGATGACTCTCAGAACCCCCTTTCTCCACTCGATCTAGCGAACCTACGTCCTTGTGGGGTGGATGCTTTCCCCCTGTCCTGTTGCGGCGTAACGGCTTCCGGTATTACCTACCCTATTCATCGTACCCGAGTATAGATAAGTGTCATGTATACCGATGCCATGTTTACTGTGTCGTCACCTAACCTCGTCGCATCCACGCGCATCTCTCCACGCTGGAAAGAGTGTGTTATGTTTCCAATGTATTCGGTACATGTTGCATGTACATTGCCCACCACATACCCTATACATGTACTCACATACCCTATACCCACATATATATCATAAAAGTTCATGTATGCCTTCCACTGCTCTTCTCAATCTTCAACCGTTCGACCTTGGCATCATTCCGAGTCACGTCGCTTCGTTATACGACCCCGTCCAAGGGTTCTGTTGGCACGACCGCGTGACGACGTCATATCCCTTCCCCCCCTACCCCTCCGGATGATGTCAGAAGTCCATGACTCGGGACGGACACGATGCGACACCGCCGAAGAGTGTTGCGTCCTGCGTGTGTCGCCGTGCGTCGCCGACAAGCTGCTCGGATATGGGAGATATCTGCGGCCTTGGGGGGGTGAAGCTATATACCCAGAATAGCTGTGGCATCCGAGAAGACGATGGCTTGTGCTGCTTGCTAACTACATGGTACGCTGGGTACTTCAGGCCTTGCATTCCACTTCTGAACTCTTCTTCTCAGACATATATCCGTCATCGGCGTCACGGCGAGGCCTAAGCTTTGCATATCGGACGATAGTCCAGGCGGACGGGGCCTCCCGGAAGATCAAGTCGATGTCCTCGAGGCTCATACCCATGGTCTGCGTCGTGATAGAGTCAGCTAGTGAATTTTTTTTTTTTATAAAAAAAACTTCATTGTGATGCGGGGAAGCCTGGAGATGGTTATCCCTACCTCGGGGTAAAAGAAGTAGACTGAAAAGGGAATGCAGAAGGCGACGACGGCGTACACGATGTAGTACTTGTATCCGATGCTATCGATGGCAACGGGCGTAACCATGATGACGACAAAGTTCCTAGAACATCATACCGGTCAGCACGATAAGAGAGCTGAAGGGGGGTTGGGGGTGGATGAGGAGAAGGGAAAGAGAACTGTCGAGCTTACCAGAGCCAGTGGTTGGCGGTCGAGATACTCGACATGGCCACCCTCAGCCTCAGGGGCGCAACCTCGGTGCAGTACAGGAAGTTGGCACCGAGGAAGCCGATGGGGATGAAGAAGTTGTAGAGGAAGACGAAGAGGACGCTGACGATCTGGGCGGCATAGTCGCTCTTGGGGAAGGACGTGGCCACGGCCAGGCCGATCATGCACGAGGCCATGCCGGCTCCGCTGACGATGAGGGCCTTGCGGCGGCCGAAGCGGTCGATGGTGAAGAAGGCGACGAAGCAGGACAGGAACTTCCACGTGAGGCAGCCGCCGGAGAGGATGCGGGAATCCTGGGCGCCGAGGCCCAGGCCCTGCTCGAAGATGACGGAAGAGTAGACCGAGATGAGGTTGCTGCCGGCCATCTGCTGGAAGAACTGCAGGAGGAGGCAGATGGCGAACCGGAACCGGAGGCGGTCCTCGCCGGACCTGAGGAGGGCCAGGAGCGAGGCCTTTCCCGGGTCCGACTCCTCGAGCGACTGCTCCATGGCGGCGATCTCGACCGAGACCTCGGCCGAGTCGACGTCCCTGTCCCTGAGGGCGGCCAGGGTCCTGCGGGCCTCGCCGGCGCGGTTGCTGCTCATCAGCCAACGCGGCGACTCCGGCATGGAGAAGATGCTGGCGGCCAGGAGCAGGGAGAAGACGACGGGGATGGCCAGGGCGGGCCGCCAGGTGACGGGCCCGTCGTCGAACTGGTAGAAGCCGAGGTTGATCCACGACTCGAGCACGTAGCCGAGCGAGATGAAGAGGCCGATGACGACGACATTCTTGCCCCGGCTCGACGCGTCGGAGCACTCGCTGCGCCAGGTCGGCACCGTACCGCTCAGCATGCCCACGCCGGCCCCCAGCGTCATGCGGCCGACGATGAGCTGCGCGAGCGAGAAGGACGAGGCCTGCAGGACCTCGCCGATGCCCGTCAGGACCGCACCCGCCAGTATCACCGGGCGCCGTCCGAACTTGTCGGCCGTGTAGGAGCACGACAGGCAGGCCGGCAGCGCGCCGAGCGTGAAGACGGCATTGACCAGCCCGGACACGGTCGAGTTGTTCTCCTTCTGCGCACCCGTCGTGTTGTCCGCGTCGATCCTAGGGAACGTGGCCGTCCAGTCGGACAGGTGCAGTATGGATCCGAGGTTGGCCTGGTTGTAGCCAAACAGGACGTAGGCTGGCAGCATGATGAGCAGGGCCTGGGCGAGGGCCAACCTCTGACCACGGAGGCCGAGAAACGAGGCTTTGCTGTCGTCGGCCATTGGTCAGGTCGAATAAGAGAGAGCCTGATATCTGTAGGAGATAGAAAGGGTGTAGGGGAAAAGGGGGGGGAGGGAGGGAAGACGGCAAGACGCAAGACAGAGAGAGAGAGGGGAGAGAGGGGAGAGATGGAGAGATGGTTGCCAGCCTCAAAGAGGTCAATTGAGAATGTATATATATATATATATATATATATAGAGTTCCAAGGGCGAATTCTGTTCGTGTCTAAGCACCCGAGGAGGGAGGCTGGGGTTTAGAGCACGGCTGAACAGCGTGTAATGGTTCGATGTTGTCTACATTGCCAAAGGAAATACAAGAATACAGCCTCTGGCTAGATATATGCACCAAACTCAACAATTGCACGCCATTTGGAAAATTTCCCATCAGTCATCTGACCCCTCACTTCGAATCTGGGGATCCGTGGAGTCTCCATGGAAGAAACCTGGGGCTCGACTGGAAGGCAGGGCACGTACCTACGAGTTCATCCGTGCGAGCACAGGCAGTCTGAAGCAGAAACTGATGCCGAAGATGGTGCCGGGCCTGGTGCCGACGATCCGGGTCTCAGAGCATGACAAGACAGCGGTGTGGCATGGGATTGGCTCCGGTCTAGATGTGCACCAAGTCCGGACTCAGGAGAGCTGGCTACCGGTATCCACCAGGGGGGTTTTGTCACATAACTTCGGGCATAACTCGTGTGTGTGTCTTGTTCGTGCTAGTCAAACCCTATCGTTGATGCCTTCGACATATGAATATATATATATATATATATATATATATATATGTATGTATGTATATGTATATGTACAGGCATGTTGGGTTGATCAACGGCTCCGTCATCAGTAGTATCGATCTTATCTACATGGTGACGGTGTTCGAGCCCTCGAGTCGACTGGTCTCTCTAGAAACTATCTGGAAAGGAGAAAATGAGGCAAGAGACTGATCGACTCTCGTACGCCCCAACCCCGACCAATTCGGCGATTCTTGACTCCGGCTCTGGAGAGAGCAGTAATAATACACTGGCATTGATACGTGTGGGCTGTAGTCGGGATCCTCCCCCCCACAACTGCTAACTGACTAGTAGGATCATCACGTATTAGTATTACTACCAAGTTATTAATGCAGACGTGTACGAGTGCGAAGGCAGATACAGACGCTGCATGTATTGGTGCCAGCAAGTGTCGTATCGTCTCCAGCCCAGTCCTCGGATGCGTGCCGGCCAGAGAGCTCCAGTCTCCACAACATGCTGCAGTCATTCACGAGTGATACCAAAGACCTGGACTTTGCGCGGTTTTTCTGTCTTGAGATCCACAGCGATCCTCCCTCGTGTCATTCGTCTGCTGAGCATGATTGGAAAAGGCGGTTCCACCTTGTACGGAAGACGGAGTATTACTGATGTCGGGTGCATACGAGTTCGGAGGTTGCTCACAGAGGGATGCTGCGAGTTCGCCCCAGCCTTGACGAGCGTCCCGACTACTGCTCAGCCGTCTTGCCGAGTTGCCGCTCAAGCTGGGATTCCTCTCAGAGACCCGGTCCGGAAACTACGGATATTACACTGTACATCGTGTATACCCACCCTACCCCCCTACCGTATCGGGCACGTCGTCATGCTCGACTCGAGCTCGGATCCATCTACACGTCGCAGCCGCGGAAACACTGGCCCCTCGAAGCCGAAGCCAGGGTAGCAACGTATGACGTTGGGCCGGCGTTGTTGTCAGTCGGACGTTTCTATCGGGAGACGGGGTCCATTGTCAAAAGAGTACATATAGTACGGACCGATAAGTAGTATAGTCATGTTCTCGCTGGTCTGGGCCAGTGATGGCGGGCGAAAAAGGGAAGAAGAACCCCCCCGCTGCTGTATGTTCGTTACATCTCCATGTTCGACTTCCATCCTGTCCTCCGTGCCCGGTATGCGATATAGTCCTCATTCATACCTCGAACTCCCACATACGACCATAGCCAGTAGAGAATACGGGGTCCCGTCCGCTCCCCCAGAGTCAAGCTACTGAGCGGTGGATTAGTAGTTGGGTCGGTGACGACCAGCGAATACCCGCTGTTGTATGTTTTTTTTTCTTGGTTTATATATATACATATATACACATAAATATACATAACATATATTGTTGGGGCATAAAGGTGGCACAAGAAGCTGAAGGATTTTAGGGTGATGATGATAACTATCTGAACTGAGATGTGTACCAAAAGGGGGTTGGTGTCAGACGGAGCGGCGGAATAATATCGGCAAAAAGGCTCGTCTGAATTACCGGACCGGGAGAGGAATGATCTGGTAGGATTGATCATAGAATAATAGCAAATCTATCGCACTGATCCATGTAAGAATCGAGGTTATAGTCTTGTTAATTCTGATGACGTTCATGATATCTATGTATAGGGGTAATTGTGACTGTAGAAGTGGCCCTTTATCGTCAGGGTTACTGCCGATCGGGCCGGAACAACCTGTTCCGGACGATAACTCAGCTGTCTGTTCCAACAGTGGAATGGCCTGAGGACATCAACATATATGTATATACATTCTATCCCTATCATCTATGCGACCTACATACACAGTATAGTCTTCATCGACACCTTGACCTCCCACATGCGACCATGGCCGGTGGAAAGTAAGGGGGTCCCGCCAGACATGATATCGGAAGCTTCATCGGAGGCCCTGCTACATTACGGATCTGACTCATGCCCCCCCTGTTTTTCGAAGGAGCAACGAGACGACCTTTCCCAATACACTGCGGCTCTCTACTGTAGGATAGCTTGCACTCTTGATGAAGTCCTCTTGCTGGCGAGCTGGACGTCGGTGGCATCACCTTTGCCTGCTGCGCTGCATCGAATCAGACAGGGCGTATCTCGTCTGGTTGGGACGTAGTTACCCCTCTATGCATATAAGAGATGGTCCGTCATGGATCTCGACCTAATGCAGCAAAGCCAACTATCGAAGCCTCATCTCACCTGAACATGCGCATGTATGCAGTCTTGAACAGACTGGCTCTCCCCCCAAACCCTAATCACGAAGGCCGCCGGAGCTTACTGCCATCTGAAGTGTGCGTCTGGCCAGATGTCCACAACCTCATTTCTACCGAATCAGGGCTCTCTCATACATCGGCACTGCAGTTATCCGTCACAGCTGATAGCCGATCCAATAGCGGTTCGCTCATGGCTGTTTGCCTCGTCACCTGTAAACTGTAAAGAGCTCTCAGGATCCAAGCCAAGACACCGAATTGCATAAGAAGCGGTACGTAGACTCCACGCATGCCGGGTGCCTGTTCGCTCTTCCTTCCTCTCTGTAACGAGTCCAAGTCCAGACCTTCTAACAGGACGACGCGTGTCAGATGATACATCGAGGCCGACATCATCATCTGCGACATGAATCCCTTCGCCCCCTTCGACGCGGAGAGTTACGCTCTGCAGCTGCAGATTGACGAGATCGAGGCTCAGCGTGCGAACCAAAAGGGCAAATGGACAGCGGACAGGATCCCGGATTACGTTTTCGCATTCGATGCATTCGAGGTCGAGCTCCGGAGGGCTACCTCCATCACTCGGGACCACAAGCTCGCCCACAGCATCGCCAGAGCCGTCGACGCCGACGCCGCAGCCATCGAGGAGCTTGTGAGGCAGGAGAGGCAGGCCGGCCACGACCACGATATTGCCCTCCAACTGAACCGGAACGATGCTCCTCCAGCCCGAGAGACCGAGGCTGTATCCGAGGATACCTCTCGTCCGGCATCCGATCCCGTCGACTGGAGCTTGGTCTGGAAAGCTTCCGGGGCAGCCACGCTCAGCACGCAGACGCCCAGCACCACGGCCGGTCCGTCAGCCGACTACGCGCTCCGCCAGGAGGCCGTACACGACCACCTGCGGGAGCTAAAGGTCGAGTGCAGCGTCTGCTCGGACATGGTACAGCCCCATGCCGGCGTGCGGCTGGAATGTGACGACCTGTACTGCCGGCCATGTCTGAAGGCCTTCCTGATGCGCGTGGCAGCGGACGAGACGCTGTACCCGCCTAAGTGCCACCGGAAGCCCATCGACGCGTACGTCATCGAGGCGGAGCTGTCTTCGGAGGAGCTGGCCGCCTACAGGACCGCCGAGATGGAGTTCACCAGCACCGACAGGCTGTACTGCGCCGACCCGACGTGCGCCAGGTTCATACCGATGGCCGAGCGCGGCAGGGACCGCGCTTCGTGTCACGTATGCCGCACGGAGACGTGCACGCACTGCAAGGAGGCGGCCCACCATGGGGCATGCGCGGCGGATGAAGAGAGGAACAGCCTCAAGAAGTTTGCCGCACAGGTAGGCTGGCAGTCCTGCTTCGGCTGCGGCGAGATGGTCTCGCGGGACGAAGGTTGTGACCACATGACGTACGTGCGGCCGTGGCGAAGGAGAGGAAGAACGGAAGAGCATCGAGATACCGAGAGAAGGCAGGACAGAAGCTGACCGGACATTGACGACAGATGCCGCTGCCGCGCCGAGTTCTGCTACCAGTGCGGCACGCAGTGGAAGCGTTGCTCGTGCAGCGACTGGGCACCCGACATGCTGGACCAGAGAGCCCGCCAGGTAGTGGACAGGGAGGCGCAGGAACCCATGGTGCCCGCTATGCGTCGCCAGCGCGTGGAGCGGATGGCGCGCGAGCTGCAGGCTAATCACGAATGTGAACACCTCGGCAGGTTCATGAGACTCGATTACAGACGCCGCGGCTATGGCTGTGAGATGTGTGGCGCGAGGCACTACAAGTACATCCTATCCTGCAGGCATTGCCACATGTTGGCGTGCGAGGACTGCCGACGCTACAGAATCTAGCCTTGCCAGGACAAGATAGGCTTGAGTAGACGGGCGTGAATCAAGGTGACGACAGCATACCCTTTTTTTTTCTTACGCTGGCCACGGTGGGTCTGTTGCTGGATCTGAATTCTTACACGCGCTTTCAGGGATAAGGGTGTATAGGTGAGTGACCCAAACCGATGTGACTCACCTTCACGATGCTGGCGCGCGTCTCGTGTCACGCAAAAAGAGGCATGTCGGTCTCTCTTTTTTTCTATGATGTAGTCTTGTGGTATGCCGGTCGATGTGTGTTTGTGTTGTATTGGTCTCGGTTCTTGTCTATGCTAGAAAGGACGGACCTCTGACATTATCATAGTCGAGTCCCGCCTACCCAAGTTATAGAGGAAAACACGGTAAAAGTACAGATGATGATGGAAAAGGCCTGATTTCGAGCCCCTTTTCTACCATTACATCAGTGAAGAATTATCTGAACAAAACCTCCTTCCTGATCTACAGATTACAGATTAGAGATCAGAGCCTTAGACGAGCGTTTTACCGACGTTATTCCGCCGCTGAGTCTGACATCGCATGTCATCACGTGGAGATTTGCGGCGGGGTCCATTTTCGGTTGTTTTATTATCCGACAAGACCCTGCGAATCAAATTTGAACGCGCCAATTTGGGAAACCTACATCGCATGTTCAGTGCCTCTTTTGTCTAGGCTACGAGCAGCATCCGTTGCAGCATCTCGGGACTGATCGGTCTGATGAAGCACGTAGAGCCGATGTTGTCCACGGCTTCGATTCGGTCTAGCAGTCTAATGTCAAATCTAGAAGATGGTGATGGGGAAAAGAGTTGGACCTTTGGATGGCACAGTACCGATTGATATACCGTACCGATCCATCGGCCGAACAAGATCCGAGCGCATTGCTTCCGCAAAGGTCGGCTCGGTTCGATTCGGTTGCAGGTCTAGGGCTACAAAAGGTATGCCATATGCCGTAATGCTCTATCTAGCTGTACAGGAAAAAAAAACATGATATACAACGTTACAATTTCATCTCCCACCTCCATACCAGCCTCGTCGTTGAATGACGTCGTCGTCACCCATCTTCACGTACCCGTACGCACGAGCCTCATCCGGTCCATCCCCAGGCCCTCCGTACGCTAGCAGTGAATGTGGCCGTACAGTCGCGGAAATGCCACGATGTCACGGATGCTCTTGACACCGGTCAGGTAGCTCAGAAGACGGTCAAAGCCGATGCCAAAGCCCCCGTGCGGCGGGCTTCCCCATCGCCTCAGGTCGACGTACCAGTCTAGGGCAGCGTGCGATCCGCTCTTCGGTCCCAGGACGGCATCCATGTTTGCCGTGAGGGCGTCGAGCCTGTGCTCGCGCATGGACCCCCCCGCCAACTCGCCCAGATCGGGCACGATGAGGTCGAAGCAGTCAAAGACGCTGCCCTGGGACGGGTTCTCGGCCGCCTGGCGCATGTAGAACGCCTTGATGGCCCGCGGGTAGTGCGTCACGAAGACGGGCATGTGGGCGTTGCCGGACGAGTCGGAGCCGACCGTCTCGGCGAGGTACTTCTCGTGCTCGCTCTGCAAGGGCTTGCCCCACGTAGGCGCAAAGCCGAAGAGGTCTGCCTTTTCCTGAAGCATGTCAATGGCCTCGGTGTATGTGATGCGCGGCCATCGCTCCGGCGTGAGCAGTCCGTTCCACCGCTTCTCCAGCCTCCCGCGGTCGTCCAGATCCTCCACGGCCCGCCGCTCGGCAGGGTCCCGAGGGTGCAGCCTGAAGCTGTCGAGCTCCTTCCACGCACTCCGCTCGCTCAGCCCCCCGGCGACGGACTTGAGCATCTGCTGGATAAAGTCCATGACCTCGTCCATGTCCTCTACGAAGCCCATTTCCGCCTCGAGCATATAGAATTCGCTCAGATGGCGCGACGTGTCGCTGCGCTCGGCACGGAACGTGGGTGACAGCGTCCAGACGTTGCCGATGGCCTGGGCAAAGGCTTCCAGGTGGAGCTGCGATGACACGGTGAGATACTGCTCCGTCTCGGAAAACGGGTCCTTGGACGTGCCGCCCTCGACTCGGAAGGTCTCGCCCGCACCCTCGCAGTCCGACGACGTGATGATGGGTGGGTGCGTCTGCTGGAACTTGGACTCTGCAAAAAATTGGTTCAGGACCGAGAGCGTGTCGGAGCGCAGCCGCAGCATGGTCGAGTTGAGCGGCGTGCGCATCCGGAGATGGGGGATACTGCGCAGGCTCTCTGGAGTCGCATACTTTTTCTGTATGGGGTACGTCTGATGCCAGACGGTCAGGTCCAGTCCACATCAAGGCTTTGGCATGTATGCAGGTCAGCTTGAGAGCTTACAGAGGCAGTAGACGGGCCCAAGATCTCAGCCTCGTCGACTTGGAGTTCGGCGGGCTTTGTCGACGCAGCCGGTGGCGGACTGCGAGCAGCATCCGAGGTCTGCTCGGTGCTCCGTTGTGGCTCCCGGCATTTCCATCTACCCTTTAAGCGGACCGCAGCTCCAAACTGCATACTACGGAAGCAGCCAAGTCAGCCCCTGGCTTCAATCGCAGGCTGAGCAGGCTCTCAGCCAGACTGTCTGACGACTCACTCTTTTGCCAGGTCCTTTCTGATGACTGCCTGCATAGGCACGCTCGTGGAGCCATCAGTCACGTCGACGAACCGCACAGCAGAGCTCTTTCGAATGTTCCTGACCCATCCATCCACCTGCACCTGCAGGCCTGCGTCGTCACCGTCCTGCGGTCTCAGGGATACCAGATCCGACACAGTTGCGACAGCTGGGCCGCCCTGGGCGGCGCGGACAGCGTAATACCGCCTCGGGAGGGACAACGATGCCAGCAGCCGGTATCGTGACATTGCCGAAGCTCGCAACGGCATCAGAGCCGATGCGGCTCGATGCGGCATGGCACTGTACTGAGAGCGCGTCCCTCGAGATGTTTGTCAGATGGCACGTATCACCAGGGAAACCAGGAGGGTATCCGGGGGAGGGGGCGGCCGGTGTCAACGTCGCAGAATGAGAATGAACGGAGAGATTGGATAGATTGATGAATGGATGGATGCGACAAACAAGTGTGATGCTCAAACGCGGCTCATGAGATGTGTTTCTTGTCGTAACGGACAAAACGTCCTGGATGTCGGATTAATTACACATATCTGTCTGCTGCGGTGTCTTGGACGGGAAAATCATTACGCCGTGATTTACAGCTGCAGACAGCGCCTGTATCCGTACCGGTAACTGTATTACACGAACATGGCAGGCGCGCCCGCAGAGGCGGTTCCTTCCCGTAATATTGTAAACACCGATGGATGCAGAAAATGGAAGGCGTCAATCCCATAGCTCTTGCCTGCTTGTACAATAGCTTTCCCCCATCACCATCATGAGCCTCACCTTTCCATCTCCCCTGACTTCTCCTCTCCTTCCTTCCCCTCTTCTTCTCTCCCCCATGCTCGTACATATGCTTGTACACATGTACTTTCACCACATGTGTGCCTGTCGCTCACCCTTTGTCCTCCCTTTTTCCTCTCCTGCTACAGCCTACCCCAGCCTGCAAAATCTTTTAGCGTGCAGCCATGTCTCGGTTTCGGTGAGACATTGATACGTACCGAGATATGCACGAGCTCTCCCTCTCTCACATGCAGCCAACGGAAATGCGACGCTGTCAGGGGTCGTGACGCTAATCGGCGTTGGCTCTTACTTGTGCATACACCGATGTATGGACATACAGGCTCATTCTTCACTTTTAACGGACCAGACGACCCATGTCGGCAAATTTTGACTTTTGACTATTCCTGCAGTCGCCCTGTTTTCGAGCAAATGTCCCTCCCTGCAACGGCAGTGGTAGTTCCGGAGGGGCGCTGGCTTTTCCATCTCTCTAAGCTCTAGCCTCTCGAGTGCTTGCTCACTGCCCGACCAACTGGCAACCTGTGCGTCGATGCGACGGCCACCAAGCGCTGCTATTTGCCCCCGTCGAGTGGGTGGGGGGTCCTTACCAAGGGTGGGGGGGAGGATACAGTCAAAAAAGCGTGGGAGACGTTGCCCTGGGAGTCCCTCCGCGAGGTAATATTACGTTGCGGAGGAAAGATATTACTGAAGTAAAGATGCCGTCATTGTCTTCGAAGACCTGTTTGTGCCGCCTGACCCGCCATACCTCCTCCCGACTGTCACTTTGACAGCATGAGCATGGCTTGTGCCGCTCTGCCTCTCTGATGTCTCTTCGAATCAAGGCGCCTTGACCTGTCTCAAATCGGCTGTGACTACGAATAGCCTACAACATACAACGATCCCAGCGTCACATGGCAACGGCTTCGTCCGTGTATGCGCAATTCCAGCACACCACCAACCTCCACTATATACGGAGTACATTTATTCGTATTGTCCGCCCACCAGCCCTTCTCATTTTCTTTTTTCTTCCTTTTTTTTTGGCCCTCTTTCGTTGCTTTTTCCTTGACCTTGCTCTCCCGACCCACGCTGCCGCCTGTTTTCTTCCCTTCCACGCGGGAAGCGACGGTTAGCCATCAATGCCGTCGCCACTCCCTTTGCGAGACACGCTTTGTCTGTGGGCCGTACATGTTGTCCCGGCCGGAGGACCTGAGAGAGGAGAGAAACGACCCTCTCACTCCCCCCCCCCCCCCACTCCCCGCCTCCTTTCAAGCCATGACGGTAGAAAGAAACAGACACGACAGCTATGAGAGAGGTACTCTCGCACTCGTAGTTTACAAGGCATGGTACGAAGTACTGACAGAGGGTACCTGTTGAACTCGGGCCGTTGGCCGTTGACTGTTGGCCGTCTACTCGTAGACGGCACCACATCACTACACCACCATCCCACCGGAGTCTTGCTCCGCCAATAGGTCGTCGCACAATACAACCGGCGGCTACCTACGGATCCTCCACGGTACACATCTCACAGGAATGGGCTCTATTCGGTGCATGTGTACGTGTGGGCACAGGATCTGCTCGGTTACCCCTTCCGTGACAAGCGACGCGTGCCGCCTCTGGGTGCCGCCTATTCGCATGCATCATACAAAAGGGCGCCGACGGTGGTGAGCTGCTTTCTATTTACGGACAATAGCAGACAATGGCATACGTGGAACCCTGGGCCACTAAGCGCGGGACGTGTGTCTCTCGATGCAACGTTTTGCGTGGATTAGGTTGATAGCTGCTGCAATTGTGTTCAGACCCTCACACTCGCTCTCTCTCACCCTCGATGGACGCGGCCCAACAAGATTTCCGACCGACCAGCCCCGCCCGGTATGGGTGTGCTCACTTGTGGATGCTCACTGCTGAATACCAGATACTTGATGCTGGAAGCCAGGTTCTCGCTGCTGACTGCTCGCTGCTCGCTGCTCGCTGAGCACTGTTTCCCTGATCATTGATTACACGTCATGTCACTTGAGCGTCTTGAGCGTCTTGAGCGCCTTGACCCCTGGTCGAGCAGGTATGTATGTATGTACGGAGTATCGTGTGCTGTGATCCACTGTCACAAGGATGGGGATGCCTCGAGGCGTTCGTGCAAGATCTCGCAGCGTGTAGCATGTCTGCCGCGCTTACGCCTGTGTGTCTAGGCGTAACTATTCGTAGCCTAGGCATAGCTCGACCCCCAAGCCCCGTCAGTTCGGATGCGGCCCTCAAGCTCACACGACCCTTCCACTCTCCCCCCCCCACCATTTCTTTTTTTTTGTCTTGGGAGGGCGTGGGAGACTGAGACAGCAGGACCCCGGGCATTAAAGCGCACATGAAGCAGTGTGCCTCGGGATCGTGCCAGACCTATTTGCCCCGGTTACCCTTGACTTCTCTGTCTCTCTCTCCCTCTCTCTCTCTCTCTCTCTCTGTGTGTGTGTGTATGGTGTATGTGCGTGTGCGTGTGTCTATGTGTCTGTATTTGTCTTTATGTGAAGATGTTTCAAACCCGTTGTGATCCACATTGTGGGTTCAGTTGAGTCGCAAGATCGACCTCGGAGACAACTCTATCTCTCTCTCTCAGAGTCTCTCTCTCCGAGTCTCTCTATCTGAGCCTCCCTATCCGAGTCTCTCTCTTTCTCTCTCTCCTTCTCATCTCCCAGACTTGGCTCCCTCTCGATCCAAGTCCGAGACCACCCAATATGTCTCGGCCTGCTGCTGATGAAGGGTTACCGCTGTGTCGAAACGTGGCTGACCCTCTCGCGTGTTTCCCACTCTGCCATATAGTGATGATCGTCTCTATTGGTGTATATATTGCTCCTCAGCTGCGCACCCAACTGACAAGTCATCCTCGTCTTTGTGCCGTCAACATTGTATACCATCAAGTACATTGCTCCATCGATACATACGACTCTCCTTTGCTTCTTCTCTCTTACTTTCCACTCTTCACACACACACACGCACACACGCACACAAGCACACGCGTGTACATGCAACTTTCAAAAGCCCCCCCATCGTTCTTATACATTTCCATATATACAACTACGGGCCAACCCATCGCCACAATATAGTAGAGGAGAGTCATCAGTCTACAGCTGTCCTCCCCCCTGCCCCCCCCCCCCCCCCATCATACCCAAGGGTTGTCACCTCGTCTGTCCCTGCTTCCCCCTCAGTATGCCTTCAGGACCCAAACAAGGCCGGGTGAGGCCATCTGAGNTCTCACTCCCCCCCCCCCCCCCCCCCCCCCCCCCTTTCCCTCTCCTTCCCCCATCATACCCAAGGGTTGTCACCTCGTCTGTCCCTGCTTCCCCCTCAGTATGCCTTCAGGACCCAAACAAGGCCGGGTGAGGCCATCTGAGGTAGCAGCGGACACGAAGAGGAACTTTATCCCTCTGATCAACAACAACTTCTCCCGCGTGTTCCCACCATACTCAATCATGTATCCTCGTCCAACGCGCGACCTGCAGATACCACGTCAGACTCTGAGCACGCGGCCGCCCGTCTTCGTGCTGGAAGGCGGAGATCCGGTAGACAGGGCGATACACTACAGCGTGACGGAGACGCAGAGCAGCCAGGCCCGGGGCGAGGCTCGGGTGCGCGTGCCCTTCATATCCGCGGCCAACGAGCGACGGCCGGGGGGCGACTGGGAGACGGGATCTTCGGGTTACGAAGAGAAGCTGTGCCGGCGGAGCAACCTGTGGGCGACGCTGAACACGCCCTGGCCTGGCACGGGGCCGTCGAGCGGCGGCGGCGGCGGCGGCGGCGGCGGCGGCAGCGGCAGCGGCAGCAATTACCCGATCCCGCCGCAGGGGGGGATCCTGTCCAACTCGGTGGTGGTGTACCGGGGCCCTCATGACGGCTACGAGAGGCTGGACGGGTGGTACGACCTGCCCGTGGTGTCGGTGCCGCCGACGCGGTGGCCGAAGCTCCGCGACAACGGGACGAGGTACTCGTTCGCCCAGGAGCGCGACATGATGCGTGAGAAGATGCGCGCCGCCCTGGGCATATGCCTGTACAACAACTATCCGCGCGTGGTGATTGGGGATTTCGGCCTGGGCAACAGCTACCGCAACCCGCCGCGCGAGGTGGCCGAGATGTGGCGCGACCTGTTCCTCTTTGACCCGGACATCCGCGGCCAGTTCCACTACGTCGTCTTCGTCTTCGACGACGCTCACCGGAGCACATCCCACCTCATACGGGACGAGATGTACAAGAAGGAGAGCAAACGTGGGGGGGGCCGTGCTTCCGTCGCCTCAGCAGGAGCAGCAGCAGCAGCCAGGATCCCTCATCATCATCATCCAACCGAGGACTGTCATGGCATCACACGAGAACACGGGGGTCTACCTACCGATCTGGCCATCTTTGAAGAGATTTTCGATCCTAGAGAAGTGCAGAGGGTGTTGAGTCAGCCTGATCCACGGTATGGGTTGGCCATGATAACATCTTGATTCGTGAAAGGCTGTTGACAGGGGAAGAATGTGCTCAAGAGACAAGGGTATGTGTGTGTGTGTGTATGTGTTAGAGAAAACTTTTTACTATTATTACTACTTTTACTACTTATTGCTAGTACGAGAATTGTTCAATCCAGGCGTTTTTCTTTTCATGTTCTTTCATTTCTTTTGATTTTCAATTGTCTACTGAATCTATTCAAAGTATAGATATCTCCATCTATGTACACGACATACACATCTATATTTGCTTCTGTCTCTTCCCCTTGTATCATGATGAAACCACGAGTACTATTATTACTACTTGTTCCTTACTACTGAGTAATATATAAGTGGTCACCGTCGCCTAAAACTCCGAGCAACGGTCCGTTGCTGTGGGAGGGGAAGGGAAAGAAGAAAAAGAAAACAACGCTGAGACAAGCCATGTGCCATGTGATATATCATGGTGTAGTATCACAGATAGATGTCAAGGTCGAGGTCCAGACAGGCATGCATGCAGGCAAGTTTACAAGAGGAAAAATATACATTTTACTTCTCCTTTACTCTTTTCAATGAATCATCTGTAAAGAATGTGAATCATCAGAACAGACGGGACAGAGACATGATGAGACGCCGTGTAGGAACGTGGGTGGGATGACAAGACATCAAATATATACCAGTCCGGTTTTATACTACAAGTGCGTGTCTTTTGGGGGGGGGGGGGGGGGGGGGAGAAAACATCATTCCTTCATAACTCAATTCTGGTAATGATCTTTCTTTCTTTCTTCTTGTGCATCATGCAAACCCATCTTGAATTGTTATAAACTCCTTTTTTTTTCGCCTTCGCTTTTTTTTTTTTCATTCTTTTACTTCCTACCAGAGTATGACCTACCAGTATGACGGTCTCAACCCTGTTAGTCCACCCAACGCAGACGACGCCATATCTGCTTCCGATTCCTTTTTCCGACGACCGCTCAACTGTTGTGTTTCTGTCAGTCATTGTCATTTTCGAGCGTTGAGAGAGGGGGTTCAACAAGGGTGGAGATTAAGTAGATACCTCTAGTTGGACATTCTTGTGAACGTGGACAAGCCAGTCAACGTAGCTCTGAGCCTCATTATTCCTGTCCTCGAATAGTAGCCTGGCGAACTCGAGCTCAGCCCCGTCCAGCCCTTGCCTGGCGAGCTGGATGGTGAGACCCTTTGATCCGCGCATGCTGCGCAGGAACTCGAGTATGTTCCTGACCTGGGCGTTGAGGTGGGTCTCGAGGACCGGCAGGGACGACGTGTACGGGTCGAGGCTCTTGAGCGTCGTCTTCTCGGCGCCGAAGAGGTCGGCGATCAGGTTGGGCGACGTCTGGGCGTGGAGCCACAGGAGGCACTGCTGGCCGTTGTCGACCAGGTACACGCCCCCCGGCTCGACGCGCGAGTACGACAGCCGGACGGCCGGCGGCATCTTGAGGTGGCCCGTCTCCGGGTCCGCGAAGCCCTCCTCGGGCTGGAGGTTGTGCAGGGCCACCATGCGCGGGTAGAGGTACACGCTCAGTTCGGCCGGGCCCATGGACCGGACGAGGCGCATCTCGTAGACGCGGCGGTCCGACGTCTCGATGCCGGCCTTCAGGGCCCGCGACTTGATCAGTCCGAGGACGTACATGCTCAGCTCCTTCAGCCGCTCCGGCATCACGAGCTGGCTGGGCGCGTGCTGCACGGGCGCGTGCTTGCGGTAGGCCGTCAGTATGTCGATCGTGCGCTCCGTCAGCCAGTTGCGCGTGTCGCGCAGGTTGGCCGATGTCGTGCCGAACTTGGTGCACGCCTCCTTGGCCAGCATGGACAGCACCGCGTCCTGGTCGACAAACTTCATGCAGTCGCGGATTCCCTGCTCGCGCGTGCCCGAGTCCTTGGATGTGTCCGACACGCTGGCGATGACGTTGGTGCACCGCACACGCCGCTGGCCCGACGCCGCCGTGTACAGCAGCGCCGACTGGAAGTGCGCGTCCAGCTGCGCGTCCAGCTTGCCGTCGTACGCAAACGTCACCCCTAGCGCCTTGTCCGCGTCCACCACGCCCAGCTCCAGGTCCGCGCCGAACGTGTGCTGCACAAAGTGCCCGTGGTACGCAGAGATCTGCAGCCCGTTGGAGCACCGCACCTTCATCAGCGCCTGGTACCCCGTCTCGCGCGTCACGGCGTGCGACAGCTCCTCCGACAGCTTGAGCCCGTCCCGCGCCGCGATGAAGTTGGGGTAGTAGTACGTCTCGCCGCCCGTCGTGCTCGACACGTGGCCCACCGTCGCAATGTCCAGGTACCCGCCGTTGGGTGACGCGAAGAAGAAGTCGACGCCGACGCCCGCCGCCACCATCTTCTCTGCCACCTTGCGCCACCCCGGGTGCTCCGTCGTGTACAGCTTCTTGTCCGTCTCGCCGCCCGGATGCGACCCATCGTCCCTCATGAAGAGCGCTCCGGGGCCCACCGTGGGCAATGCCGACGACGCGCAGATGGCTTTGCCGCCCGTCTTCTCCAGCGCCGCCAGCGTCGCGTTGAGCGTCGCCAGCAGCGCGGGCTCGGGGTTCTTGACTGTCGAGAACATGTTGGGCAGGCGGTTCAGCAGCGACGAGATGACGTCCTTGCACTCGTACGGGTCGACAAACAGGCCCTCTCCCAGAGGGACAAAGGGGTCTTCGATGTCGGGCATGATCATCATCTGTGCCGAGTCTAGAGAGGGCTGTGAAGATATGAGTCAGTCGCGGTGCCTCTCGAGAAAGACCAAGACCGCCTCTCCTCCTTCGTGATCTTCTCCTCTTTCCTGATTCCGGCTTCACTCACATTGATGTTGTAGAAGTGGATTTCCTTATCATAGCTGAGGAAGCCAACCTTGGCCCCCTGGGGTATCCTCCTGACGGGCTCGGCTCCGTCATCGCCATCCGTCTCGCCGCCGTACAGGGCATTCAGGATACCGTCGCAGAAGGCCTCGAGAAAGCCTTTGTTGTACGCCTCCTGGGTGACGTCAATGACAAACAGCCACCTCATGGGAACGGGGTCCCTGGTCCAGTACTCCTTGGGGACGATGAACTCGACGGTGCCGCGATGCAGCTCCGGGCGCTGGTCCCTGTCGACGCGGACGCCCTGGGGGTTGGTGGCGCAGAAGTACTCGGGTGGCGTCTCGTTGGGATGCGTGCACAGGTTGCATACGTACTTAGTTCCGCCGGACCGGAACATCATGAAGGGGTTGATGTAAGCGCGGCACCTGCGGCACCGGGGCGGGCCGACGTCGCCAAAGTCGAGGATGGGGATCTCGGCCTCGCCCGGTTGCAGGGGGGCCAGGGGCTGCAGGACGAGGCCGAGCGGTATGCCCGTGGCCTGCAGTCCTTCGCTGGTGGAAGGTATGTTGTTGGCCGTGAGGCGGGCAAACTTGGGCGACGCGTTGCCCTGGTCGAATGCGACAAAGGACAGCGACGCCGGCGGCGGCACGTGCTTCTCGAACGTGGGGTACACGTTCCTGAGGAAGAAGGGCTGCACGCCGTCGCGCGACAGCGGCACGCTGGGCAGGTCGTCAGGCGACACCTTGGCCGGCCCTCCGGCGCCTCCCGCCGCGGCCATGTTGGCGCCAGCGTCTGCCATCCCGGGGACGCCGCCACCGACGGCGGGCGGGAAGAAGCCCGGGGACATGGACTGCTGCTGCTGGAACTGCTGCTGCTGAGCGACGGCCGCGGGTGACGGCACAAAGCCGTATCCGGCCTGGGGGGAGAATGCCTGGGGCGGCATGCCGCCAGTGGCAGGGCTGTCGAGGAACTGGGACTGCGGCATCCCGGGCGGGGGCATTCCGTTGAACGGCTGCGACGACCCCGCAGCTTCGATGGTGTGGTAGGCGTGCCTGTCCTTTTTGCGTCGGGCCGTGCCACCGCCCTGAGGATGAGAGGCATAGCTGTCCGGCGTTCCAGCTCCCCGCGGAGGCTGCTGATACTGCTGCTGGCCTTCGTGTCCCCTGATGTCCATGCTTCCCATCTGTGCTGCCAGGGCATCATCCTGACCTGTGCCAGGCTGGAGGCCGTGATACTGCGTGTGCTGATCCATTGACGGTAGCTATATCGAGGGGGAGTGGGGGGGGGAGGCGAAGACAAGGACGAGGAAACTGCCGGGGATGTATGTTTTTTTTCTTCGGTTTCTTCGGTCTGTCGGTCGGTAACGATGTCAAATCCGGAACGAACGCCCCAACACACACTCGATCGTGTTCAGGATCACGGGCTATTAGGAGGCCCTTGACGGTCTGCTGGTGAAGCTCCCTCTTCCCGTCTTCGTACTGGACAACGTGGAAGAGTGAAGGTGTCGAAAGTGTTACTCATACTGTAATTTGGCACTGTGTGTCTTCTCTTGCCTTGGCGTCATATGTAATCCCGATTTGATGACTAAGTAAGTTTGGATTTGGCAGGTTCTGATACAGCTGCGACGGTGATAGCTGCGCATGCCGCATTTGCTTACCTACACACTAGTAATAGTACCATACGACAGTGATTCTATATGAGTATAAATTTATGGCTTACAATGTTGTGTAACGATAGTTTTACATTTTAGGATTCTAGATGAATGCTAATTCGGTGAGATATTCTTTGTATTATAAAGCTTAACAGCTTAGGAACACTAACAATTATGTTTGTCGTAACACTCGTAGTATTATCATTGGGTAGTAGTAATTTTATATCACATACGACGTATATATGTACTTGAAGTTAAACTGCACCATCATTATACAACCAAACACGCCAAATAGGACAAACCAATCTCTTTTCATCATTCTCATAATACATCTTTTCTTCTGGCCGTGAACAATGAACAGAGTGCGTGACCTATTTGCACTTCACAGAATGCTATAATAGAGACTTAGTACACCTTCCCAGGCTACGATTTCAAAATCAACTCGTACCTCAGGGTAAGTTGATGGCGGATGGTGGATACCAACGCCAGCCTCATCTTGCACTTAACTTGCCTCAACGACGCGTGACTCGAATATTGAAACAATATCGTCACATCGCGTATCTTATTTGCAGTGTCTTTGGTCATTCCCACCAATGGTCAAGATATATTGTATACGCCCTGGAATCCATAAGAGATTCTGATGGTTGTGAAACTTGGTTACATCTGCATACTACAGGGCGCACTCTTGGCATTTGCTTCCTCGTGAGAAAAAGTCAAGAGGACCTGCATGGATCTGGACCTGCAGTACGAGATCAACCGCGGCAATTCCGGGACGGAGACGCGTCTTTTTCTCCGCCAAGGTCCAAGGATTAAGAATGTCAGGTTTTGGCCCACGTTGTGTACGAGTAGACGCGTTTGTGATTGAGGCTGGATCATCTCGTACTAGCCTCGAGGTACTGCCCCAGTACCCCCGTACGCATTGGGAACACACACACAAAACATCAGCCCTCCCTGCTTGCTGTAATTTGGATGCACACACAACGCACATGCGACTGTGGATTTGATGACTTTTACATCTCAGCCGCGTCTTCATCTCTCGCGGACTGGAGAGAGGAAGAAGAAAAAGCGTGCATGGTCGATCAAACACTCGCGCCGACGTGGATGCGACGGCCAGCGCATCACGACAAAAACCAACAGGACAGGCCAGACTGGACGTTTGAGGGAAAGCAACAGTAATTGTAAAGTCGACATTGTCCAAGTATCCAGAAAAAGAGACAGCTCATTCTCACAGCCCATGCTCATGAATTCTATGAACCTGATGTGTTGTGACGTGGCGGCGCAGATTGGCTATGCAGGCGTCGTGGATGGCTTCGAATTCGTTGTTGGAGAGGGGCGGCAGTCGGTGTCTACCATAGAGCCAAGAAACATTATATCATCAGGCGCAAAGACGATACAAGATACACAATCGGCAGAAAAGGGGTTCAAAATAACATCACGGGATGGCGCAGTCATCAATGCACCAGCTGGACATGTTGAGAAATTACGGCACGGGCATGGTGGGCGGCAATGGCGATACGTGAGAGAGAGGGGAAGAGAAGAAGAGGAGGGATCATGAAGGGGTGCTATCGGTCTGTAATTACGAGTACAGAGCATAAAAGGACGAGATCCATAAAATGACTCATTTGCTTGAGAGAAAAAAAAAAAGGGTTCGACTCAGGCTCCTTTCAGACAGACGAGAAACGAAGAGAGAGACAAGAGAGATAAAGAAGAGGGAGCGGAGGGGAACGGAAAACGGGGGGAGGGGGAGGGCGACGAGGAAAGGAGGGGGAGGGGACAGGAGTAATGGAGGAAGGAACGTCGTCCAAATCACACCAGGACGGCAAGTGCGACTAGACCAAGTACGTATAGCTCGTGCCTACCCTCTCTACCTCATAATTGCCTGTCTGGAAGGGTAGCGATTTCCTAGGTTGGGTGTATAGCTTGGGGAATGGACCAATGAAAAAAATGGACAGCTGTTGCATGTATTCCTTTTTTTAGGCGCAGGTCCAGGCGGTACGTACCTCGTGGTATTTACATTTTTGCTTGCATGTAATCTGTACGGAGTACATCGTCACAGTTCTGTACGGAGTTGTCTCTTAGGAAGTAATGATACTGCGAATACAGATTACATGTACTCGTACTAGTACTCGTAGTGCTCCCGACAGCACTATTGTTCCATTACAGATAATACCCCGTACTCGTAGTGATAATACTGAGCGCCATTGATCATGACCTACTCCGTGCTGCGATTATAGCACATACACGAAGCCAAGGTGTGGCTCGGCAGGAACAGAAGTCGACCAGTCCAGTTACACGCATCGTGGTCACACACCTTGACACCACATTCAGGCCCCTGCGCACTTTTCAGAACGATGCGAGTAGATATCGGGATGGAGGGGTCACAACGACAACAGTCCGTGGCAAGAGCGGAAATGGGAAAGAGCAGTGATGACAGGAGAAAGTGGTGATGATGAGAAAAAAGGCAGGAGTGTGGCAAGGCAAACAGCACGAGCGCACGTAGCCAAGGCAGGAGCATCACAGGGTAAGAGCAGTGACGGTAGAGAACAGGCAAGAATGAAACAGTCAGCCAAGTTTTAACCGTGAACCGTACTCCGCAGTACTCCGTAGACTAGACTGTAATACTATTATTACTCGTAGTACTCGTACTTCATCGCAGGGAATAACATCATCATCATATGTGGCGCAACCTTTTCAGGACAGTGCGTAGAACCATCATCCACCCAAGCCGTTTTTTCTTCTTCTCTCCTCTCTGTCTTTTTGGTTAGATATAATCTAATGCTCCTCGTCTTTTTTTTTCTCCGCCTCTTCCAGATTCCCACAATCTCCCACCTAAAGGCCAAAGCCAGAGAACAAAACTGGGACCCACCACTACGTGCACTGCTCCCGGCAAGCTGTGTGGGTCAGGGATCATTCTTGACTCTTTGCGACCGACGGACCGGGGTGTGGTCACGTTCCGCTCTTCTCCCACACACCAAAAGAGTCCAAGACCCAAAGAGCGTGTTAGTGCGGCAGGCCAGGCGCAAAAAGCAGAGCTACTGATTGCAGTCTCCCGCCCGCTTGCCCCCCGCCCGATATATAAACAAGCCCACGCCCCCCCTCCACGCGCATCGACGCCCGTTCCTGTCTCCGTTTTCTTGCTTCTTGATTTTCTTTCTCCATATCCTTCTCCCACACTTAACCCGACTTTCAAGAGCTTCTATTGTCGCCTCTTTCTTCTCTTCCTCGACATTCTCGTCTATCCGTCGCTTTGCATACACAACACGCAATCAACCAACCCAACCCACACACCCATCTACGCAATGGCTCCTCCGACCGCTCCCGCCAAGAAGGCCACGGCCTCGAAGCCCAAGACTCCCAGCTACCAGGTTTGTCCCCCCCCCCTCCCCCCTCCGCGTCACCTTTCGAGCACTCGACTCCGACTATTACTGTTTATTATTGAATAATGATACTAACCATGACAATACAGGACATGATCACTGACGCTATTGTCAACGTACGTTTTTCTTCTTCTCTCTCACTTCCATTGCTTCCGCTGCTGCCGATGCGCCATAGTGCACCCTCATGCTGCGCCTCAGCTCTTGTCGCGTCGCACTCTGCGGATAATTCGGGCGCGCACATACGCGTCAAGAAACATAACAACTACCCCACCACACTCGAGATCAGTCAACTGACCCCTTCAACAGCTCAAGGATCGCAATGGATCCAGCCGCCAGTCCCTCAAGAAGTACGTCAAGGCCAACAACGCCCTGAACGTCCAGACGGACAAGATGTTCGACTCCCTGTTCAACAAAGCGCTCAAGAATGGCGTGGACAAGGGTGTTTTCGAGCAGCCCAAGGGTCCCTCCGGTGGCACCAAGCTCGCCAAGAAGAAGGCTGCTGCCGAGAAGAAGCCCGCGCCTAAGAAGGAGGCCGCGCCCAAGAAGGAGCCTGCCCCCAAGAAGGAGTCCGCGCCCAAGAAGGCTGCCGCCCCTAAGAAAGCCGCCGCTCCGGCTGCTGCCAAGAAGGAGACTGCTACTGAGAAGAAGCCCGCTCCCAAGAAGGCCGCTGCCCCCAAGAAGGCTGCTGCCCCCAAGAAGGCCGCCGCTCCCGCTACCAAGGTGCGCACCATTTCTTGCCAGGAACTGCATATCGTGACCTTGAGCTACCCCCCACTGACATGAACAAACAGACTGGACGCGTGACCAAGCCCGCCGCTGCCAAGAAGGCCGCCCCCAAGAAGGCGACGCCGAAGAAGGCTGCTGCTGCTACTGCTAAGGCGTAAACCTTGCCCTGCATCGCATTGCAATGTGTTTGTCTTGTTCACGAACGAAAGCCTGTTTTCTTTAAATAATGACGGGAGAAGGCGTTTTAAGGGGAATTCTTGTGTATCTTTTTTTTTCTTCTATTTTTTTTTCTCTTCCATTGCAGGGTCAACTTGTTTCTTTCACAATTTCCGAATATTGTATTTTTTTTTTGTCAACCAAGGGACACAAATGGGGAAATGGGAGGTGGGGAATTATTGGGCTATATCGATTTTTTTTTTGAAAGCAAAGGGTTCACACATGACTGCCTTCTTGGGTCACATTTGTCTCGCGTTGAAATGGAAAGCGTATGCGTGCGCTGGCGTTATGTTTCTTTTTGTCTTTCCTTTTTGGACCTACTTCTCTCTTGTCGTGACGCGTCATATGAGAAAGGAGGGGACAGGACACTCATAAAAAATCCCACATACGCGTCATTCTTTTCATGTCTGAATATCACATGAGGGAGAGGGAGGGTGTTGAGATCTTGATTGCCGCTGGTGGGTGGCGGGTACTGCTGAAGTCTATCGATCATCTACTTTCTTTTGTTCTCCTTATTGACCTTTGCCTGTTTTTCTTAGGATCGAGCCGTGAAGAGGAGGGGAAAAAGGTTGAGCTTGTCACAAACTTCCAGGGACCACAAGGGTTGTATCACAATCATGTCGCGTCGAGTCTGGGGGGTTTTGTTTACATTGTGATGGAGAACTTGAGACGTCCGTTTCGAATTATGTAAGAAATCTTATATAATCAATATAACCTCGTACTCGTATCAGCGCAGTTGAGTGATGTCAGAGCTTCACCTAAATATTGCTGACTGTGATACTGGTAGGTCCCCGCTTTGGACTTGTACGGTGTTGCCGCTCGGGGTCGTGTCCTGTGGGAGGGACAGGTACAGATGGGGGGGACGGTATATCTGGCCATTGGACCCCGTGTTCTCGTCGTGGGACGGTCACGGGCTTTTATATGAGCCTTATGGGTCTTCCATACTACCACCAACGGCTCTTGGGGCCCTTGTCTTTGCCTGCTCTGTTCATATGCCATGCCACAATCATATTTCATATTTCGCAAGAGAACATGGTTCTTTGTCCCGTTCGCCATCGGGGTGTTTCTGTACGTACTTTCTCACACATTACCCCCCCTCTCTCTCTCTATCCCTCTCTCCGTCCCACCCTGACGCATGGCTAACTCCCCATGTATGGACGGTATGCCAACATTGGCATGAGTTAAAAAGAAAAGTTGGGGATCTGCGGACGGGTCCAAGAAGTTAGTGCTGGTAATACTGGAAAATAGACACGGAGGGATCCAGCTTTTACTAGGAGGAAACGAGACAGGAGGAATAGAATGCATTGATTGAGAACAATGTATAATATCTGATGATGGAAGACGGGCGTCTGCATCAAGGTGCCTCTCTTGAGTGATGACTAATACAGATGACATAATCACCTTCATCTTTCCAAGAGACCCTCGCGCTATCCTTACTCTGTAATATACGGAGTACAGATTACATATGTGTAATCATATTAATTACTCTGTCATCGTACTTTCCAAGATACAGCAAGTAATACTCGCTCTCTTACCCGCTCCCCCACACGAACGGATACCGGCGTTGATAGCGAGGTACTCTAAATCTACATATAGATCAACCGTTATATCATGTACTCTGTCATCCAACCTACTGCCCCGTGTCGCCCACCCGCACTTTCGATCAGAAGCCCACTTTGTAGCATGACAGCCTGACAGACAGCCAAAGATTTGGGGTATTGACGAGGGAGGGAAGATGCGTATAAAGCGGCCGGCCATGCTGATGATTGATTTGATACAATTGTAATATCTTTCTCATCGATTCCCGAACCCTTAACTTAGTTGTAGACCAAAGTTTCCTCTCAGGAGAAGAGAGGCCCAGGCTTTCAACCCCATCATCGTCTAATAAACCCCTCCAGTGTTGTGACGTCCGACGCCTCCGCCCCGCTGTCGCCAGCTTGCCCTCTTTTTTTTTTCTTCTTCTCTCTCTCTCCCTCTCTTGCGTCACGTATACATAAGCTCGCTCCTCTATTTCTCTACCACACACTCACATATACCGACCACCATCCTTCTCCACACCCCAAACGGCCATGGCTTCCTTCAACCCATTTAGGAAGAAGCCATCGTCAGTTCATCATGCTGGAACCGAGGACGCCGGAATCGGAAGACGTTTCCCCCCCATCGAACCTATAGATACGGCTCTAGCCCAGGCTGTCTCCCGACCACCACCACCACCACCACCACTCACCACGTTTCGAACTTCCACCACCACCACCACAACTACTACTACCACTCAGGACGACTACGTCGACAGCATCCCTGCAGAGAGCAGCGGCATCATCAACAGCGAGAGGAAGAAGAAGAGCAAGGTGGTGAAGAAGGTGCGCGTATTGTCGCCGCCTCCTCTCTCCCCCGACACCTCGGAGTGGCCGTATGACCAGCCGCCACCTTTGCTGGACGACCCTTTCAGCAATGGCTTCCCCAGCAATCCGACCGGCGCTTCCACCGCACTGGAACAGTATCAGCAGCAGTCACTGCAGCAGCAGAAGCAGCAGCAGCAGCAGGGACAATTCCCTCCTCCTGCGACTGCTTCTGCCACATCACCGCCCGCAAACCCATTCAGCAAGACGCTACGCGACCTTGAGAACGAGAGGCAACTCAGAGAGGACAAGCAGCTCAAGGAAGAGATGCGGAGCGAGGGAGCAGCCCTCAAGGCAGCCAACAGGGGATCCCTCAACGTCGCCTCCTTCAGTCGACTCCTCATGACGGGAAAAGCCGGGGGTGACAACGAGGTAGCTGCTGCGTCCACGGCGGCGGCAGAAGCGGCGGCAGCAGAGGTTCACGTACCCTCCCGAGCTGCGCACAGCAACGACGGAAACGATGATGGCAACCACAAGAATGACGATGACGGCCACATTTCCGACTCGAGTAGCACCGCCGCACCGCGGAGGAAAAAGGTGCCACCGCCACCACCACCGAGCTCACGACATGGCAGATCGATAAAGGCGACGGGAGACGGGGCGACGGGCGGAGAGACCCACGGCAGCGCCACCAGGAAACCAGCACCAGCACCGCCACCGCCGAGGGGAGGTCGCAGCGGTGCCCCGTCCAAAGCGCAGCGTGCTTCCTCCTCTCCCTCCCCGGCACCGGCGCCGCCGCCGAGACGGAGAGTCGTACACAGGACGTCGTCGTCACCGCCATCTACGCCCGGAGAAGGGGGTCGACACAGCACAGATTCAGCATCGCCCGAGACCCAACCGACAGGCAATGCATCGGATCTGTCACTGGCTACGACACCAACAAAGACCTCTGCTCCCAGACCACCACCTGCCCGCCGGGGACCGCTCAGCCCCACCACCGAGGGAGCTGGTCGTGCACCGCCGCCCCCACCGACGAGAAAGAGGGGAAGCAGCAAGGGGAGCGTGGACCTGCGTACGGCGGACACTGTTGCTGCTGCCGGTGGCTCTCCCGGCGAGTTCGGCCAGGTACAGGGCGGGTATAACATACTCGCTGATCTGGATGCTCTGCAGAGGGAGGTTGATGCCCTAAGGGGGAAGTTGGGGTAGTGCCTCTCCTTCCCTTTCCTTTTTTTCTTCTCTCGCCTGACAAATGCACTTCTCACTGTCTGCCTCTTATGTCTGTCGGGCAAATGCATTGCTTCTTCATTGTCTTGTCTGTCATTTACGTCATCATGAGCGTTGTTTTTATTTATTCATCCATTTATTCCTTCATGTATATGAGAGATGAGAGTCATCAGAGAGTATCAGATCAGAGTAGATATGACCATGTTAAGAAATAAGACAATCATTTCAACTTTTACTGCCAACATGAAGCAAAGAAGAACAGAAAACCCCACTGAACATCTCGACTAATATGAAAGTAAATACCGAGCCATCGGCCAAGACTCCGAAGCATCCCGAGACCGAAAGACGCCGAGAGGAAAGGCGTTACAGCCTACAGCCGATCTCGGTGGGCGGTCCGGTACCGAGACCCACGACCGCGAGGAAGGAGCCATTTTCATTGCTCTTGCCTCTTTTTTCCCTTTTCTGCCTTTTATTTCTTATTTCTAATAATTTTTTTTTATTAAAAAAATTCAATTTGATTTTTCTCATCTTTCTATCTTCATTTTATCATCTTCATCCTCTCCCTGCCTCTCTCTCTCTCTCCTTTATACTCACTTACTTATTCTCCTCTACACATTCTTTCTCCAACATCTCCTCTTCAACATTGCCATACCAATATTCCCGTCCCACATAACCATGACATAACAATGTCTTCCCCATCTGTCCGGTCCGCGGAGCAGAATCGGTCCATGGCCGGTGACGTCTTTATTGCTCTGAAGCTGGTATATCTTCCAATATGAAGAACTCCTCCCCTCCCCCCCCCCCAAAAAAAAAGGACGAATGGTGGAGATGAAATGAGAGAAGGGAAAACTGACATTCTCAGGCCCTCATATCTTCAGGCCCAAAACTACTCCGCAATTGGATCTTGGTCCCCGCCGGCCTCCTCCTCATGCTGCTCGCATGCTTCGGAGTAGACGCCCTCTTCCGTCTGATCGGGACGTCGTTCCCCCCGTCAGTGGCATGCCTCGTACTCTTGCTGGTCGCTCTCCTCCTGGCCGAGAGCGTCCTGGGCAACCATCGTGTCAAGAAGATTGTTGCCGTCATCGATGTTCCGGTTCGTCTTCACCTCCACGCAGTAGGGAAGACTTCATCCGAGAGCATGACGGTTGCTAACTGACCACAGGCCGGATGGTCCCTGCAATGGATGGGCATCTTCTTCACTCCTTCATTCATCCTCCTTCCTCTCAGCGACCCCGTCGGCGTTGCTGAAGTCTTTAAAATCATTGCCGTCTTTGGTAATACCCGCTCCCTGCCCCTGCATGCTCTCCGGTCCACCCGACCCCATCCTTCCTCTCGGAGCTAACACGGACCGCTCGCTCGTGATGTAGTCATCGGTTTCATCATCACCTTTGCCGCAGTGGCATACCTCGTCAGGGGACTGCAGCCTGTCCTCGGCTCATCCAAGCGCGCCCAGGTTCAGCGAGCAGAGGAGCTCGACCGCCAGGTACAGGAGCAGATCCCCCTGACCCAGGCCAACCCCGGCCATGGCACCCCGACCCCCGAAGCCAGCCCCCTCGGACCGTCGACGCCGGCCGAGATAACGCCGGCCGAGACGACGCCGGCCCCCTCCCGCCCACAGACACCACCGCAGCTGCGCATCCAGCACCGCCACCACAATAGTGGCGACCCGCCGCCCACGGCATCCCGGTCACTCGTGCCGCCCGCGTATCCGTCCCAGGACCCGGTGCCACCGTCCCGCCCGGAGCGCTGGGCCGTCCTGATAGCCTCGCACCTCGACACGGGAATCTTCGCCTTGATCCTGCTCGTGGCGGGCATCCCCGTCTTCTACGCCACGGGCTACGCCATGCCCCTCCACCTGGCCGTCAACGTGCTGTCGTACATGGCGGCCAGCACGGTGGTCCCGTCGTCGTGGCGGACGTACCTCCACCCGATCCTCACGTCGTCGCTCGCCACGGTCCTCGTCATCTGGGCCTTCTCGGCCACGGTGGGCGTCCCCATCGACTCGGCGCTGCAGCAGTACCGCACCGGTAACAAGTACATCCAGCTGTGGCGCGCCACGTCGAGCTCGACGGCCATGCCGGGCGCGGGCGACTTCATGGCCACCCTGCTGGACGCCAGCATCGTCTCCCTGGCCCTCCCGTGCTTCCAGCACCGCCGCGAGCTGCGCGCCCGCTTCGTCCTGCTCGCCATCCCCAGCGTCATCGTCTCCGTCACCTCCCTCCTCGTCTACCCTCCCCTGTGCGGCGGCCCCAAGGCCGGCCTGGGCATCCAGCCGCGTCTCAGCCTCGCCCTCGTGCCGCGCAGTCTGACCCTCGCCCTGGCCACCCCCGTGGCCGAGAACCTCGGCGCCGAAACCCACGCCACAGCCGCCATTGCCATCGTGAGCGGCATCGTAGGCGTCATCATCGGCCCCAGACTGCTGGCCCTCATCAGGATCCCCCAGGACGACTACGTCACCAGGGGCATAACCCTCGGTATCAACTCGAGTGCCATGGCCACGGCGTTCCTGCTCAAGACGGATCCCAGGGCCGCCGCGCTGTCGTGCCTTTCCATGGTGCTGTTTGGTACCATCACCGTCATCCTCACATCGATTCCCGCGATATCTACGTTTATAAGGGGCATGGTTGGGTTGTGACATGGGATCAGATGAGGGTATATGAAATGGACGCGTCTTGTTGAACATGGGTAATATAATATAGATAGCCAGACAATATACTACACACGCACATAGCATGGAAACATTGAATCTCTGCACACATGTTACAACGAGGTGGATACTAGAATGAAAAGGGGATATGTTACCACATGTACGTGAATCTTGTATATATATATCATTACCAGAACCCAGACAGGTGGTAGACCCTAGACAGATACTACAGCCTAGACGGATACCAGATATGACCATGACTACACACACACACACACACACACACACACACATACACACACATACATAAAAGACACATGAGAGAAAAAAGATCAATTGACAGTTACCAGACCTCCACCAGTAGACTATGACCCAAGTCAACCGGTTCATCGTCATCCAGTACATCTTCCTCCCTCCCAATAATTTTTTTTTAACAAGTTAAAATATTTTCCCTTTTTTTTTTTTTTCTTTTTCCATTGTTTGTTGTGGTTGTTTTTTCGTTGTGTATATATATATATATATATATATATATATCCCCTTCCACCCATCCATCCAGCATGCGCTGTTTCCCCCTCCCACCTCTTCTCGTCTTTTTCTTTTCTGTTTCAAGTTTCGTATTCGAAAGGTTGTACCATCCCCCCCCTCCCCGTGTGTTTTCGTATGTATTTGATAGGGGATGATGTCATGTTGTTGTAACTCTCTCGCGGGGGGTAGACCTTGCGCGAGAGGCAAAAATCTTCAATATGAACAATTCCCCTGACTGTTGCGCTTTATTGCCTTGTCTGGTTGGTGGAGTGGTGGGATATCAAGACGTGTCTTTCATACACCGTCCTCGTCGTCGTAGTGGTCGTTTATGCTCGTGCTGCTTCTCCGGGATGAAAGAGGAGAGAGAGTATGTCCCCCGGCCTACATGTGAAGCCGTGGCTCATGTGTAATAACCGTCCCCCTCTTCACCTCTTCCCTCTGTTTTCATCTCCCCCCCCGCTCCCCCCTTTTCCCTGTCCTGTCCTGTCCTGTCTTTTCCTTTCCTTGCCCGTACGCCGAATATCAAGGCAAACTCGATCCTTGGGACTTGTAGTCTTGTAATCCAGACCATCTTTCGTCGGATCTAGTCCAGTAGTCTAGACCATATCGAAGAGCCCCTCTCAGAAAATCCCCCTCAGAAACGAGATAAAAGAGAATTGTGGTAGATCGAGTCGAGGTATCAAGTATGCCGACAAAAAAAGAGAATAGATAAAAAAAGGTTCCAAGCTCTGCACCATAAAATAAAGAGAATCATATGAGCCCATATGAACAAGGCCATAAAGAGAGAGGAACAGAAAAAAAAAGGGTTGGGGAGAAGATGAAGAAAAGGAGAATAAACCGTAGAAGAAATGAAGAAAAAAAATGAACAGATAAAGAAATGAAACCCTGGGGGAGAAAAAAAAAGCAGAAAAAAAAACACCGTTTCGCCGTTTCCACTCCATTCGCTCCATAAGTTGCGAATACTGTTACACCCAACCCAAAAGGCAAAGATGGAAAAAAAAAGAGCAAAATCCGACAAACTCGAAACGCCCCTCTGCCGTAAAAAAAAGAAAAAAAGAAGGCGATGAAGCAAATGCTGTAGAGGGAAGGAAAAAAAAGGATGATGAGAGATCCATGATCCATCAATCGTTCGCGTTCAAAGACGCCTGTATCAATCATGGGATATTCAACGAATAATGGGACTTAACCTGACAGAATCAGACTATGCCTGAATATCCCGGGGCTGGCCACGACCACGGCCACCGCCTCCGCGGCCACGATAGTTGCGACCACGACCACGACCGCCACGGCCCTGGTTGCTGTATCCCTGCTGCTGAGAGTGGCCATTCTGACTTTGCTGCTGCTGCTGCTGCTGCTGCTGCTGGGGATGCTGCTGCTGGGGCTGTTGAGGAAGAGGAGCCGGCTGCTGGAGCTGCTGGCGGGGGAGGTTGGAGATGGGACGGGGGATGGTGTCCGGGTTCTCGTAAACGTAGAGGCTCTTGTCGATGCTGGCGGGGATGGGCTGGATCTCGGTGCCGAGGTCCCGCTCGATGTTGTACAGGTTGAACCTGTCGTCCCAGTTGATGAGGTTGATGGCGAGACCGAGGTGGCCGTAACGGCCGGAACGGCCGATGCGGTGCAGGTACGTCTCGGCGTTCTTGGGGAAGTCAAAGTTGATGACGACGTTGACGGCCTGGATGTCGATACCGCGGGTGAGGAGGTCGGAGCAGACGAGGTTGCGGCAGACGCCGTTGCGGAAGTCGTGGAAGACGCGGTTACGGGCCTGCTGCTGCATGCGGGCGTGGCTGTAGAAGCACGAGTATCCCAGCTCGGTGATCTTCTTGGCCAGCAGCTCGACGCGGTTGGTCGAGTTGCAGAAGATGATGGACTGGTTGATCTGCAGCTTGGAGAAGAGCGTGTTGAGGCAGTGGACCTTCTGCTTCTCCTCGACAAAGGCGTAGTACTGGGTGATTCCGCGGAGGGTGAGCTCGTCCATCAGGTTGATCTCGTAGGGGTTCGTCATGTTGCGGTCGGCAAACTCCTTGACCGACACGGGGAAGGTGGCGGAGAAGAGCATGACCTGGCGGTCCTTGGGGTGGAACTGCAGCAGCTGCTCGATGACGGGCGTGAACTCGGGCGACAGCAGCTTGTCGGCCTCGTCCATGATGAACATGGGGCACTCGCTCAGGTCGGCGACGTTCTTGCCGGCCAGGTCCAGGATGCGACCGGGGGTGCCGACCACGATGTGGACGGGATCCTGCAGGCGCATGATGTCGTCACGGAGGCCGGTTCCGCCGGTCGTCACCATGACGTTGACGCCCAGGTGCTTGCCCAGCGTCTTGCACACCTGCGACGTCTGCATGGCCAGCTCGCGGGTGGGCACCAGGATGAGGGCCTGAATCTTGGAGATCTTGGGCTTGATTCGCTCGAGGGTGGGTATGATGAAGGCGGCCGTCTTACCCGTACCGTTCTTTGCCCTGGCGAGGATATCGCGGCCGGTCAGTGCCACCGGGATGGCTTCTTCTTGGATCGGTGACGGCTTCTCGAACCCAGCCTCGAAGATGCCCATGAGCAGGTCGCGGTTTAACGAGAAGTCTTCGAATTCGAGGCCCTTGGTGTTTGTGACATCCTGTGGAGGGTGGTTGGGGTTGGGGTTGGGGTTGGGTTAGTCTGTCAAGTCCAAAGCCCAGAGAGCTAGGTGGGTGCTCCTGAGGGGTTGTGCTAGAGACTGTACCTCTGTCTGTTGGCGGTTGTCTCGTGCGGGGAGGTTGAGGTTTTGCTTCCAGTCATTGCCGTCGCTGCATCATGTCAGTTTGAGCACGCCCCCCTCAGATGTTGACTTCCAACCACCGACCTCAGTGACACCGCATTCAGCTTGTCTGCTAGTTGTTCCGACATGGTGAAGGTGGAGGAGATATGCTTGTGTGGGTGTGGGTATGGGTGTTTGTGTGTGCGTGCGTTGCGTTGGTTTCACCCCAGTATATCGTGGTAGAGTGGCAGTGGTAGATGGACGGCGTTGGATCCAAGAAAAAATCGGCCGAGGATGTTTCTGTTCCTGGCAGAGGATTTGCGTTTCGGAGTATTCGTGTGTAAGGAAGAGGAGATGTGTTCGTGCCTCTATCTCTCTTGGGCGGCGAGATGTTCCAAAGGTTGGCAGTCAAAGGTGTTGTTGTTGTTGTTGTTGTTGTTGTTGTTGTTTTTGGTGACAGAGGGTTTAACCGTCTGTCGTGGAGAACGTGACGTTCTTTGGAGCTTGGAGGCTTTGAGAAGGGGTTTGAAGGGAGGTAGAGTAGAAAGGTTGATAGAAGAAGCCCACAGAGCTTGGAGAGGTGAGTGAGTGAGTGAGTGTGTGTGTGTGCGTGTTGTGTTTGTTTCTGTGGGATTTTGTGTGGTCGAGAGTGTCAAGGTGGTGATGGATGGAGGTTTTTTGGTGGAGGAGAAGAGAAGCTGCTAGTCCGTGGTCGGTTGGTTCATCGACAGGGAAAAAATAATAGAAAAAGAGAAAAAGAGGGTAATAATAATAAAAAAAGGCCTATAGTGGTGTTACATGGTCTTACAAGGCTCTTTACATGGATTTACAGGGCTCCGCCAGTCGTCAGAGGCCCCTAAAGTCGGACAGAGCCAGACGATAAAGAGGTCGATTAGGGCCACGTGATCGCGGGGTTAGTCTGAGGTGGCGGATCCGCCTTAGATAATCACTCTTCACAATCTTTCACCATGACATTCATCCCCCCCGTCTTCTTTGACGGTGATATGCCTCCGACGGCCCTACCGGGGGGGTTGACCTCGCTTCCCTCGCATCTGCGGGGTGGGGGGCGGGAACGTGTCTTGTTCGTGATGCCCTGACTAATGTACATTGGGGTGTCGACAAGCTACAACTTCATCCCCGTCGCCTTGGCCACCTTGAGACTCTGCCTCATGCTCAGATCCAGCATGATCTCCTCACTCCCGCCGGGGATGGCATAGGCCCTGACGTCGCGGTACAGCCTCTCGATCTTGGCCCCCTGACCTCCGCGCGAGTAGCTCAGGCCGCCAAAGATCTGGCTGGCCTCGCGGGCGCAGAACTCAAAGGTGACGGTGGATTGAGCCTTGAGCCCGGCAATGGGACCGCCCAGCTGCAGCATGGCCTGGGTGTCGCTCATGTTCTCAGCCTGGAAGATCAGGTTCTCCAGCCAGTTGTACGAGGCCTCGATCTGGCGGGCCATGTGGGCCAGCTTCATGCGGATGACGGGGTGGTCGATGAGCTTCTTGCCGAACGTGCGGCGCTTGTTGGCGTACCTGACCGACTCTTCGTAGCAGACGCGCGAGAAGCGGATGCACTGGATGATGATGCCGATGCGCTCGTGGTTGAAGTTGGACATGATGACTATCCTGTCAGCTTCCTACACAGCCTCAAGTACGGGCTAGAGCGCGGCCATGATGCCCAGCAAGACACCCGGCCGGACATGAGAGCGTAACGAGGATGATGATGGAGGGGGAGAGAGAAGAGAAGGAGAGAAGAGAGAAGAAGAAGAAAACTCACCTCGGAACCCTTGATTCTTCTTGCCAAGAAGATTCTCGACGGGAACCTTGACATCCTCAAAAGTGATGTAGGTAGTCCCGCTGGACCAGACGCCCTGGCAGTCCATGCGACGGGTGGTGACGCCCTGCGTGCGCTCGATGAGCAGCAGGCTGACGCCGTTCATGCCCTCGCCGCCGGTGCGGACGGCGGTGGTGAAGTAGTCGGACCAGATGCCGTTGGTGATCCACTTCTTCTCGCCGTTGACGATGAAGTGCTTCCCGTCGTCGCTCAGCTTGGCCTCGCACGTCAGGTTGGCGACGTCGCTGCCGGCGTCGGGTTCGGTGATGGCCAGGCAGATGCGCTTGTCGCCGGCCAGGATGCCGGGCAGGATGCGGGCCTTGAGGGCCTCGGAGCCGAACTTGACGACGGGAGGGCACCCGATGCCGAAGCCGCCGATGAGGTTCCACACGAAGCCCCCGGACCCGGTGCGCGCCAGCTCGTCCGTCAGGAGCATCTCGTGGAACTGGTCCCAGTCCTTGGGGTCGACCGACCTGACCGTCGCGGCCGCGTACTCCTCGGGGAACTTGACGCCCAGCAGGCCGGCCAGGTAGCCCCGCCGGCCCATCTCCTTGTATATCTCCTCGGGGACGCGCTTGGCCTCGTCCCACTCGGTAACGTTCGGCTCCAGGTCGTTCTCCACCCACTCGCGCACCTCGGCGCGGAGGGCGGCGTGCGTCTCGTTGAAGTAGGGGGAGTAGTACTGGGCCATGTATCATCAGCGGGACGTTCTAGGATACGTATGTATGTATGCAATGTATGTATGTGTATGTATATATATGCATGCATGCATCACGCACCAAGTATATGCGTGACCGGGGGGGGAGAATCTTACACCGTGGTACCAGTTGGGGTCGGAAAAGGGAATCATGGCACCGAAAGGGTCCTGAGCCGCAGCTCCGGTGCTGTGGCCGCCATCATCATCACCACCCCCACCTGAAGAGGAAGAGGAGGAGGAGGAAGACTTGGGAGCGGGAGAAGGACCAGCACCAGCACCAGCACCAGCAGCAGTAGTAGTAGTAGCAGGCTTGGCTGGCTTGGCGGCAACCTCGACGGCAGGCTTGGGCTTGGTATCGAGGGATCCGACCTGCAGCCTGCCCTTGTACTTGTTGAGGATGCTGTCGTTGTGGTACTTCCAGAACTGTTTGGAGGCGTCCTTGCCTGCGACGCGCTGGAGGATCTTCTTACCTCCCGGGTGATCTTCCTGGAAGGTGGTCAGGTCATAGACGTCACCGTCGACGATGGTGTAGAGGTTATCGGGTTTGTTGTGGGAGGCCACATCGGCCGTGGTGAATATCTGAGCCACCATCTTCCTTTTCAGACGAGGAAGAGTAAGCAAGATCGAGGTTGAGATTTCTGTTTTTTGGGGTTGGGGTTGGGGTTGGGGTTGGGGTTGGGGTTGGGGTTGGAAGAGATGGAAGGAGAAGTGAAAGGGAGAAGGAGAAACACACACGAGAGCTTGTCTTTAAAGGAAAAGAGAAGGAGAAGACTAAAACCATCTCGGTCTCGGCAACGCTGGCAACGCTGGCAACGGCAAAAAAACACAAAAAAGGACACAATCACATGGGAACAGAGCAAGACAGAGTCAAGATTATTAAGATAAAAAGAAAAAAGATAAAAAGATAAAAAAAGAGGTGATGATACCAACTCCCACCCAACAAGGTACGGCACACACAGAAACCAGGTAAATGCATCCCTTACCACTCGGCGTCACCGCAGCCATCTGCTTCGGGGAACGACGAATCTGTCAAGTACGATGACAAGTCTTCCAGGGTACGCATTCGAATGAACGGCACAGGCCCATCCATTCATCATCAGCCTTCTCTGCTCGCCCTTACCGTTACGAGGTCCTCGTACATGGCGATATACGCACACGTCTCCACTCAATCCGGGGAGATCCAAGCTTCTCGTGTGGGGGAGAGGATGATGCAGACGAATAGGAGCAGCTGCTTTGGTCATTCGCGGGAACATGGCGGTGCGTCGTGAAGCCGTGGTCATGTGGCACCGATACGTAATGTATGCATGTATATACATGTATGTATATACATGTATGTATATATATATATATACGTGTACATATACATATATATACTGACATGTGAAGAGAGAGAAGCTGGAAGCCGAGTACGTAGCGCTGGGACTGACCGGGTACCCAAGAAAGAGAAAAGAACAGGTACCGGTACGCGCACATACGGTGATGGATGGGCAGGATACGCGCAGCGTCACAAGTCGTCGCCAGTCGACGGTCCCTTCTGCATCTGCGCATCTGCCGAGATGCCGAGGTCCGAGCCCGACGGAAGGGTCGGTGGCGGGAGAGGAGGAGATGTGTCGACGACAGCAGCAGCAGCAGCAGCAGCAGCAGCATCGCCATCTTCCTATCAGGATGGGAGGCATGATAGCAATAGCATCGACGGTCCGTCGGCCATCCGCCTACGGATCCGTACTCGACTTCAACCCGAAAACTGGTTGAGCCGAGTGCTGGGACGACGACGCCACGTCTAGCCTGGTACTCCTTGCCCTGGTTGCTCTCGCTTCTCTGGTATCCGTAGACTCTCTTGATGCTACTGCAATCTGTAGTACGGATGGAGTGCCGGATTCTTCATCTCTTTTTTATTCAGTCGAGTCATATTACGTGATGATCGTCGGAGGAGTCGCCGTCGGTTCAGTTCCCATCGTATATCCTTTAACCTGACCATGAAGCACCATGACATGACTTCTTCTCTCCATGTGTGAAGTCGATAACAACCCATTATGAGAGGGGAAGAGAATATACATACATATATATATATATTTATGTATTTGAAGAGAACCGTCAGATGGCCCCCATCCCCGACCCGCCTCCCGCCTACGTCAAGCAGCTCCCCTGGGCTTCGACTTGGCCGCGGCCTTGTCCTTCTTGTCCTTCTTCTGCTTCTTCTTCTTCTCCTCATTCTTCTCGTCCGCCTTCCTCTTGAGCGCCGCCTTCTCGGCGTCGGTCTTGGGCACGGGCTTGAAGAAGCCCTCGAGCCTGGCCTGCTGGGAGCTCCCCAGGTTCTTCTCCAGCCTCGAGGCTCCGCTGCGTACCCTGTCCTCGGAGAAGCCCTTGTCGGTCACCAGGAAGCTGACGAGGCCCTCGACGTCGGGCTTCTCCCACCTGAAGTCGCACTCCGGGTCCGAGGCCGCGCGCACGTCGGGCGACAGGAACAGGTCGCGCGCGTCCTTGTACGGCCAGTCGTCGGGGACCACGTACTTCTTCTTGGCGTCCTTCTCCATGGCTTCCGTCACCTTCTCCAGCGATCCGTGCTCGCGTATCAGCTTGAGAGCCGTGTTGGGCCCAACCTTGGGTATCGGGTCAAGGTAGTCGCATCCTAGGAGGATACAGAGATCGATGAACTTGAGAGAGGGGGGGGGTGGTCTGTGTCAGTACGTGAAACAGAAGAGATGGGAGAGGAGTGGGGAAACGACAAAAAAAAAAAAAAAAAAGGGAAAGAAGAAGAAGAAGAAGAAGAAGAGAGACAGGACGAACCTGTGTCCTATCCATGTTCAGCCCTTCGAGAACCTTGTCCAGTCGAATCTCCTGGATAGGCTCCTTGCGCTGCTCGGAAAAGGTGAGGTGCCTGAGCAGGATGGGCGTGTCGAAGCAGAGCGTGTCCATGTCCTCGCTGGCGGCGGCGTAGACCTTGCCGGCCCTCGCCAGGGCGGCGCACTGGGCCTCGGCCTCGGTGGGGGCGACGATGTAGGGGATCCCCATGAGCTTCAGCAGGCGCTGGCACTCGGCGTTGTGCTCGCGCGTCACCCGGACGGTCCGCCTCGAGAACTTCTCGACCTCCTCGGCCGTGCCCGTCTCCTTGGCCTCCTCGAGCCCCTCGTTGGCCGTCTGCTTGCGCTGGAAGCGCTTGGCCAGCTCGCCCGACTTGAGCTTGGGAGGGGCGCCGTCGAAGACGTACAGCGGCTTGATGCCGTTGTCCACCATCCGGAGCGTCCTGTAGAACATGCCCATCAGGTGCGACGTCGTCTCTCCCGTCTCGTTCATCAGCTGCTGGCCGTCGGACCGTACTGCGATGAGGAAGGAGTAGATGCTCATGGAGGCGTCCTGAGGTCGGAGATTTGTCAGTCTTTTTGATTATCCTCTCTCTTCTCTCCTTTTTCTTCTTCTTCTTCTTCTTCTTCTTCTTCTTCTTCTTCTTCATATCACAGTAGGGGGGGGGTGGGGGAGACAGACATACAATGGCAACTTTCCGTCCAAACTGATTCTTTATCTCCCCCTCCTTGATGGCCTCGGGGGCCTCTTCCTTGATGATGGAAAAGAGTTGTTTGATACCCATCTTCCCAGGTGACTGGCTGTTCCCTCAATGACAAGGTCAGATGGTGGTAAGACGGGGTGGTAGAATTCGAAGAAGAAACGCCCTTGACGGTTGAGATGGCTGTTGTAGAGCTGGGATTTGTAGAGGGCAGAGATGGATGACGCGCTTCTGAGAGACGCGGCAACGCGAGTTATAGTGGTCCCACTTTTTCTATCTCGGTATATGTATATCATCTGTACGGAGTATGGAGTGATGCTAGACTGCTCTACTCTACTCTCTACTCTACTCTCTCCTCTACTCTCTCCTTCATCTACTCTACTCTACTCTATTCTACTCTCCTTCATCTACTCTACTCTACTCTATTCTACTCTCCTTCATCTACTCTACTCTACTCTACCCTACTACGCTCTACTCTATATATACTCATTCTACCTACTATACTCTGCTCGACTATATATATATATATATATATATATATATAAATTGTCTCGACAGCTCTTCCAACATAGAAGGTACAGATATAATCTCAGAGATCATAACCCCCAAGTCAGAATAAATCACACAAAAAAAGGGGGGGCAAGTTCAGAAACAAGCCAAGAGAGAAAAAAAAAAGGGAAGAGGCAAGTCAGATCAAGGTACATGGCAAAACATATACACTCCTATCTTCCTCCTCGCCTCTTCCATCTCTCCCCTTATTTGTAAAATAAATAGATAAAAAGCCATCGACAAGAGTTCTTCTTCTCTCAGCTCTATAGAGAGGAATAGAGAAGAAGAGAGGCCTCTCTTTGTTCAATCTACCGCTCGGAATACAAAGCTGTCAAGGATAGATCTCGCCTTGCGCTCCACCTTGCCGTGCGGATGTTTTCTTTCTTTTGGTTCTGTATATATATATATATATATATCGTCACATAGGCACATCACATACACAGGGAACTGATAGTTAGTCTTGTCGTTTGCAATGGGTATATCATACATACAGAAACAAGAATGCTCCTCAGTTCTCCCCTCGACCTTTTTTTTTTGCTCGGAGAGAGAAAAAGAAAGAGAGAGAGAGAGAGGGAGAGAGGGAGAGAGAGAGATAGATAGAGAGAAAAAGTCTTCTTCCCAAAACTACCCATCATCCGGGATGGCGCCACCCTGCATACTCTCCAAAGCCTTGTCGATCCCCATGATATCCAGCATCTCCGCATCCACGTTCCTCCTCGCATCGTCGCCACCAGTCACATCAGCCGCGGCGTCGAGCGTACCTGTAAAGTCGAATCCGACGACGCTAGGCCTTACACCTGCACCTGCGCCTGCACCCGCAACCGCTCCGACAGTCTTGCTCTGCTGCCTCTGCTGGGAAGGTGACCCGTCTCGTAGACCGGCACCGGTACCGCGCTGCCTGAGCGATGCAGCCCCCCTGATGGTGGACAGGTTGAAAGGATTGCTCGGGGCCCTGGGCTTACCCCCCGTCGCGGCGGAAGCAGCGTCTGGGCCGGCGCCGCCATTCACGATGATGGCTTCGGATCTGTTATACGCGAGGAGACGTCTACCACGGCCGTTGGCCGCTGCGAGACCGCCAATCTTCTTGCCAGCACCGTCCTCGCCAGGCCGCACGATGACCAGCCTGGTCTCGCCGCGGACGGCAATCTCCAGCTGCTGATTCTGCTGCGCAGCAGTAGTACCGACCGTACCGGCGGCAGTACTGGTCGTGCTGGCAGCGGTGCCCGGCAGCAGCGTGACGCCGCAGCACCGCTCGCCGAGCAGACCAGTCGACAGATCCTGCAGCTTGAGCATCCGCGCAGGCTGGTCCTTGGGTGCGCCGAACAGGACGGCGCTGCTGTCCGCAGCGAGCGAGGGCCTGTTGACCTGGGATTCCCAGAAGCGCGAGACGCCCATGATGACGGCGACGTGCTCGTGGTCGCCTAACCACAGCACCAGGTTCTCGTCTGGGAGGGCACCGGCCGACGACGGAGAGGAAGAGGAAGGTGATGACGACGAGGGTGCGGGCGCGACGGCGATGCCGCCGTGCATCGTCGCCAGCCTGTCCGCCGCAGAAGCGGCAGAGCTGGTGATGGACGCGGCCGCCTGCCGTCTCGTGTGCGGCGTCATGGGCACGAAGTCACCCGTCACGGCCGTGTCCCTCGCCTGTGCGCCCGCCGCGGCAACGGCGCGCAGGGAGCTGGTCCCCTCGACGAAGCCGGACACGCTGAACGCCGTGAGCGCGGCGCCGCGCACCCCCGTCCTCAGCTTGCCGCTGGCCGTGGCGGCTGAGCCGGACACCCGCGCGCCCACGCCGTCGACGTCCCATATCTGCCACATACCGTCGGCCATGAGGGCAAAGATGGCACGGCCGTGCGCGATCCACGCAGCGTCGACGACGGGCTTGCGCGCCGTCGACGAACGCGCAAACGGCTGGTACAGGCTCAGCAGCCACGATCCCTGGGCCGGGAGCGGGCCCGTGGCATCCGGGTCGGGCGGGAGCGACGGCACGGCAAAGTCGTAGATGCGCACGGCGTGCGGCGCAGACACGACGAGCAGCTGTGTCGTTGACGGGTTCGGGTTGAACGACATGGCCGTCAGAGGGGCGGGGAGAAACTCGGTCTGGAAGGGCTCGACGACCCTCCGCGGCCTCGCTGAGCCCTCATCGCCGCCTTTTTCGCCGTCGTCGTCGTCGTCGTAGAGCGGCAGGTCCCACAGCCGGAGCACACCCGACGCCTCACGAGACCGCGACGCGACAATCGCCCGGGACGGCCTGGTCACCGCCACCTCCTCGTCGCCCTCGGCGTCGGCGTCGGCCGACGGCGGCGACGGCGGCACAATCTGCAGGGCTATCCCGTCGCTCGGCCGCGTCTGCCCGCCCAGGAGGGTCACCGTCTCCCCCCACGCCCCTGACCCGGCCTTGCCGGACAGCAGGTCGCTCCTCAGCTCCGGACGGGCCTTGGCCTCGCGTGATGGCGGCGTGAGCGGCAGACTGACGAGGTACACATCGTTTGTCACGCACGATACGGCAAACACCATGTTCTTGCTGTTCTTGCCGTAGTCATTGCTGATATCGTCACCGTCCTGCTTACCAGGACGCATAGACCCGGGATGAACAGCGATGTTGAGTACTGCCGTGCCGAACGTCAGGTCCAGCGTCTGCACAATCTCCGCGTACGGTGTCGTGTCGGCCTCGTCCTCGAATTCGGGCTTGTCGACGCGTCGCTTGTTTCCTGCTGATTGCTGCTGCTGCTGCTGCTGCTGCTGCTTCGTCTTGGTGGGCATACCGTCATCGTCGGAGTCAGAGTCAGAGTCGATCACCATGATTGAGTCTGCGTCTACCGAACCATTCTGCTTCTTGTCCTTATTCTTGTTGTTGGATGCTGTCGCCGCCGTCGCACCGCCGTCCTTGAATCGCCTGCCTCCTCGCCATACTACTGTCACGCCGCTGTCGTGTCCATAGATGAGGATCGTGGCTCCCTGAGGTGATGGGGTAGGGTATGTCTGCACATCGCTGATGCGTCGCGAGAGGTTGTACCTGTTTTTGTGTTTTTTTTTGTCAGATATCTGTCAATGATGAGTAGGGATGAGGGGGGATGGGGAAAAAAGGAAAGAAGGATAGGAATAGGAGAGATATGAAAGGAAGAGGGCACCCACGTGAATTGTGTGTTTTCCGCCGTGCGTCGTATTCTAGGCGTCATAGAGGCTGCCATGTTATGTATGCTATGTCGCTGCAGACTGCAGCGGCCCAGGTTGGGTCGGTTGATGTTTTCTGTATCTTATTCTCTTTCTGTCTGTGTGTTCTTTCGATGAGAGAGAGGTAAAGAGGGATGTATATGTGTAGGAGGTGTACAAGTGTATCAAAAGGTGTGGTTTGGCAATTCCATCATCTTCTTGGGTCTTTATTCTATATTTTTTTCCGGTCGTCGACCGAGCGCGAAGCTGAACGCGTGCAAGGTTGGAGCTCCAGCCTTCCCAGTGAGCTTTGATCACGTGCTTTGACGTTGGTGACCACCCGCCGGCTGATCCCCGGCTGGTCGCTTGGATCTCACTGTCATAGATTCTTAACATATAAGATGATATCGACAGTTTTGGAGAATATACGAGCATACACATCTGTATACACATCTGTACACCTGAGCCTCTTAACAAACGGCTACAAGTACAGACGATAGCAGTACATGTACGACTACTGTTCAAAATCAATTCACTCGTCGACATTCATCTAGATCTTCTCATTCTCTCCTCCCCCTTCACACGGCTTGACGTACGACAACATAAGGATCAATGTGAATTCCTATCTCTTCCGCACATCAAGCCACTATTCTTCGCTTGCTCTCATCTTCTCTCCTTCTCCATAAACCGGAAAGAGTAGTGTCAGATGAAAAGAAAAACTTAAATAATAGTATAAAAAAAGTATCTCCGACCAAACAACCATATCGCCAGCTTTCTCTCTCACGCCCTCACGTAGGCTTTCCATCCTTCTCTCCAGCATCTTGAGAGTTCACGGAGAGAAACAAAAATACAGTTACAGCAAGGAAACATCTTTTCCGCCACAATCATCTTGAATTTGGTATCCATCTTTCAGCCCGCACAAAACGTATTCTTTTGGCTTTTTTTTTCTTGAATAAAAAAAGGACTCAAAAAAAATATGGCCAGAACAACTGCAATGAAATAGAAAAAGAAAAGACAAGGATGGAACAAAAGGGTAAAGGGGGGGTGTATTAACCAGTCGAGGGGAATTTGGGGGTTGAGGGATGAGGGGCAAGGCATTCATTCATTCCCCCCCCCAAAAAAAAAAGAGACGCCGGGTCGAAGGGGGGAATGATAAGACGGCAGGGCAGCTCGCTCGGGAATCAGGGCGGTTGGACTGTTCTGTATTGACCTGTTGGCACTGGCCGGGGACGTGAGGATGCTGCTTCATCCATCGGCTGCTGATCATCAGCAATAACAGACAAAGTAAGAATCGAGGATTTCGTGGTCGGCATCTAACGAGGATTGGACGGGATGAAAATAAAGAAGTAATATATAAAAGTGCTCGATACCCATTGGTCTTAAGGCTCAAAAAAAGAAGAAGAGATCTGATAAGAAAAGGGGGGATCAAAGGAGTGGATGGCATAGAGAGAGCCGTCGACAAATACTGTGCGAGAGGAAAAAAGAGGGGGGAAGAGAACAGTGGAAGAATAACCCTGATGTTTTTCCTCTGGGAGAGCTATTGTCTATCCCTACGCCAGAAGCAAGAAGCCCAACGCGACTAGGTCACACCGATAAGAGGAACAGGTCAACCTAGCAATCGGTAAGAGCTATCATCCCGAGAACGCCGTGAATGCCGCAAGATTTTTTGGAAAATAAAGAGGAGAAATAGGAGAGGGAAAAAAAAGTAGTATGTGTAGAAGTACTGGTATATCGGTTTGTATGAGAAAGGAAAACAAAGGAGGGGCGCGAGATGAACGTCATTCTATGAAAAGGCTGCGTTGCTGCTTCACGCGTTGGTGACCTAGAGTGAGAGTGTCAGTGACGTCGAACCGATTCAGAAAGAAACATGCCGTCTCAGGACCCGACAGGCAATCGCCCTGACAATGACCCGGGTTTGCGAAGAGGGCGAATGCTGTCAAGAGGTGTGTGTGTGTGTGTGTGTGTGTGTGTGGGGGGGGGGTTGTTGGATGAATGAACTTGGTTTCCATTCGCACACACATACGCACTCA